CTTACGCCTGGGTCCCTGCCTCCGCATCATTCCCCTACAGAGCTGACCCTCATCTCCCTCAGGTCAAACGTAAATCCCCTCATGAGGAGCATTGCCTGGCCATCCTCGTTGTGCCCCATTTCCCCTCCCTGATTTCTCTGTAGCTCTTTTCACCAAATATGTAATTCTCCAGATTAACCTGGAGAATCTGCCTCCATTTCAAGGGAACTTTAGGGTCCTCCCTGCCCTGGAGAATAGTCAGACTGTCCCAGGAGGCAGTGACATCTCCTGGCCTCCTCTCCAGGCATCCTGCCTGGTGGGCCGGATAGCTCCCAGTGCTCCTGAGACTGGGGCAGCCCATCTGTGAGATCTTGGCTCTCCGTGCTGAGCCCAGGTGGATTCTCATTGGTGCTTCCCACCCCACTCACTGGACCAGGGGCCATGGCAACTCCTTTCCCTCTGACTCCTGAGACATCCACCGGATCTGACTGCTCTGAGGATCCCTTCCTTCTCCTCTTAGAGGGAGAGACCCCCGCCCCAGGGGCCACTGCAACACATAATACTTCAGGTCCAGCCCTGGAGTTGGGGCCTACAGGAAATCCCAGCTGCACAGCTGATCCTCTATGTGACCAGAGAAGCTTTCTGGGCCTCCCTAAGCCTTGGTGTCCTCAACTGTATGATGGGGACAGTCCTACTGCCCGCATCCAGGTGGCTGAGAAGTTGAGAGTTGCTTCCTGAAAAGGGCTAAGGATTACACTTTCCTACAGTCTTTTTTCTCTTCTGTGCCTGCTCAGAGCTGAGTCAGGTGGGGTCTCTGTATGGGGTGGGAGTTGGGGCAGCTGTAACAGAGTCCTCTAGGCTTTGTGCCTGATAGGGTTTCAGACTTTCAGCCTATGGTAAAGGGTCCCAAGCAGTAGCCCAGGGCCCATGGAGTGGAATTTGTCAGCACTTCCACTTGGTCTTTCCAAGGCAACAGGTTGGGGCATCAGATGGCTCCTCTTCAGTCACAAACATTATCAGGTTTGTCTTCTGCTATTTTGAGAACTTCTACAGAGAGAGCTGTGATGGAATTAGAGACAAGGAATACACTTTGGACTGTATGTGAAAGAAACTGGCAAAAGCATGTCTAGCTTGGCAAAAGGAACTCCACAAGTAGAGATGCGTGTGTCCCATGGTGGTAGCTGCACCTTCCTGCTCAACTGCCCATTCCCTGAAACCTAGGTGGGGACAGAGCTGCCCAGGCACTCCCTGCCCTTCCTGCAAGCCCCCTTTCCACCTGTGAGTGGTGGGTGCTCAGGGATGGTTCTGCAGGGCTGAGACCACACCACCTCCTCTAACTTCATGGGGCTCCAGGTATGCCCCTCAAGACCTACACTGGCCCAGGAGGCTTCAGAGTGTGGCCAGCCCTCGGGAGCCAAAACCAGTCCAAGGAGACATGTTAGCCAAACTGTCACATCTACTGGGAGGGATCTCCTGGAACTCAGGAGAGTCTCTGTGTCCACGAGGTAGGCAGGGTACAACCTTTACATGTGTACATGTATCCTTGTACAGCTTGATGGAGGATCCCAAGCGACCATCCATTCTTCCTCCACATCATACATCTGCCCTTGTTGAGGATGCCCGGGGTTGGCCCCGCGGGCAGCACACACCACTGGCTTGTCTCTCCGCAGAAGCATTTGCACTCATGTGGCACACCAGGCAGTGGCAGCCCTTGCACAATAACAGCTCTTGCATGGTCATGAGAGCTTCAGCAGGGTGAGTGTAGACCAGGGGCTGATGGGGATTGGTGCATCGCTGGGCCCAGGGAGGGCCAGGCTGAGAATAGCAGGTGGGCTATTGTGATCAGTAGGGTGGATGTCCTGATATCTGTGGGGCATTTCAGAGGAAACCCAGAAGGTGCTAGAGTCAGGGAAGGCAGGCTTGGGGGACAGTGTAGGAGTTCTCTGTATACAGTGAACATCAGCCTTGGAAATGAGGGAAATGGGGCAAGGACACAGGCTCGGGCAGCCCCTGAGGAGTACACAGGGGCAACTGCAAGGTGGGTAGAAATCAGAAAGGAGAGGGTGGGGGGCACAGGCATGTGGGAGGAGGATACAGTGGAGGGAGAGGAGGAGGAAGTCATAAAGGCAGAAAGACTACACTTCAGAAAAGTCAGCACAGACGGAGGCCTGCGTGCCATAGACACTGAGAGGAAGGCAAGAGCGGCAGAGACAATGGGAGCAGCTGGGAGAGGAGGTGGGGCTGGGAGTGAGGGCCACAGAGTGGCTTGGAGCCACAGCTCTGCCGATGGCCAGCTGCCTGGCATTGGCCCAGGCCACCCACCATCTTGGATAAGGGTGTCCTTGCATGTTCTCCTGTTTTAACCCAATTGGCACTTTGCTAGAGTGAAGGTTGAGGCTCTATTGGGGAAGCTTACTATCCTTATGTTAAGGATGGTGAAGAGAATGGCACAGAGACTGTAACCCCTGGGGAATATCAATAGCCTGTGCTGCAAGGTTCACAGTCAGCTGACAGTTAGGAAACCCTCTACACCCATATCTTTAGCAGCTTCTAAAAGGTCAGAGCTTCAGTGGGACAGAGTGCTAAATGAGAGAAAATGTCACCTCAACTTGAGACCCCACTTACTCACAGAGTGGTGTCAACCCAGCACTGAGCCAACTTCCCACCTGCACAAGGAGACAGTCAGCCAACTTCCCACCTGCACAAGGAGACAGTCAGGTGCTCATCAACTGGAAGCAATGGCATCCAGGTAAGGAAAGTAGGTGTACACAAGTATCCACCTTGCTTCTCTCTCTCTTTCTCTCTCTCTCTCACTCTCTCTCATTGGAATCTCACTCTGTCACCCAGGTGATCCTTCTGCCTTAGTCTTCCAATGAATTTTTTGATTCATTGTAGAGACAAGGTCTCACCATGTTGCTTGGGCTGGTCTCTGACAACCCTCTTGCCTCTTCCTCCCAAAGTGCTAGGATTACAGGCGTGAGCCACTGCGCCCGGTGCACACCAGTTTTCCAAATAGCTGGTGCTTCTCTCTTAAACCAAGCTAAGATGGCAGTTCTTCAGGTATAAGTTGGCAGGAGTGGAGAGATGGAAGAGGAGGAAACAACAAAATTTAGAAGCCAGAAAACTCACAAATGCAAAATAAATGGCTCAGGATACCCAAAACACTAAATTCTAGTCAGAGTGTAGAAAGTTCAGAACCAACATAGTCCATGTCCCTGAACCCTCAAGAACTGGCAGTACCAGGTTCTGCTGGAAATGAGAGAAGGGCTAAAACATAGATAACTGGAAGAAAGTTTTTCGGAAGTTGTCAAAACCCCAGAGCCCCGCCCTGACTCAGAGGTCAGGTGAGTACTCCCCTTCTTCTGAATAAAGCCTCAAGCATTATTCTCTGGAGAGGGCAAAAGGGAGGGTATGTAGGCTGATAGAGAAGGCCTAGCTGGGGGTGGGAGTCCCGTACAAAATGTAAATCCTAAGAGAGCATATAACTGACTCAAAGACACTCTTTCTCCCAGCTCCCAGCAGGGTTGGTGGCCTAGCCAGTCCCTCTAAGCAGAAGGTGAGAACATCTTCGGGGTGACCAGCTCTGCTGTTGTCAAACTGTGAGATTGTGCAGCTTTCTAACATCATCCCCCAGTAGGAGCATCACAGTCTTCACCTTCCCAACTAACTCTCATGCCTCCCAGAATGATTTCTCCTCCACTTGCAGTGGGGACAACTCAGAATCAGTCTTGCTTATACCCACCCATGCCCCAGCATCTGTCAAGCTGATGTGAAGGAGCATAACCCCAGGCTGCCAGTCTCCCTATCACAGCGGAGTCTCAGCAAGGGAGACCCCCAGGAGCCCTTCCTCACAGCTGCACGGGTTCTGCATAGCCTGCTAGTGGGACTGTTGCCTGCGATGGCCCACAGTCAGCAGCTAGAGCTCTCCCAGCAGACCAAATGCCCCCCAGGTGCCGTAGAGCCTGTCTAGATGGAACAGAGACTGCAAACTCAGCCCATAATATCTAAGAATGTGTCAATGAAAATTGATCCTTTGTTTGCACATCAGATGGGAGCCTCGAGAGCCGGATTTCCAGGGAGGTCCAAAGGCATGTTGACAGTTCAGGTGAAATTTGACCAGAAGCCCCAAATTCAAGTCTCAATCTGTGGGGGCTGGAGCTCTACCTCACACAAAAATGTGGAAATGAAGAAGGTGAGCAGCCACCGCAAGCCCAGAAGGCCAACGCACACCAGCTTTTCTTTTCTTTTTCTTTTTTTTTTCGAATCGGAGTTTCACTTTGTCGCCCAGGCTAGAGTGCAGAGGCATGCTAACCACCACCGCAGCCTTGACCTGCTGGGCTCAGGCAATCCTTCCACCTCAGCCTTCCAAGTAGCTGAAACTACAGGTGTGCGCCACCACACCTGGTCAATTTTTTTATTCATTGTAGAGACAAGGTCTCCGCCATGTTGCTTGGGCTGGTCTCAAACCTGTGGGCTCTGGTAACCCTCTCGCCTCTGCCTCCCAAAGTGCTAGGATTACAGGTGTGAGCCACTGCGCCCGGCGCACACCAGTTTTCTGTAAAGGTCACCAGAGAACCTCTCTTCCTCCATCTTCCACCTCCATTTCTCAGCTCTGTTTCCATGCAGAATGTCTGAACTCTCTCTTACTATAGGTGGCTTCTTCCTTGTATCCAGGAGAGATGGCCCCAAGCAGCCCCAATTTTACAGTCCCTACCCCGGTCTAACAACCTCAGAAGGAAGACTTTTTCACCCCTACCCTAAGAGAAGACTCCTGGGGAAAACTCCAATTTGCACATGCCAGATCATGTGGGAAAGGGCAGATTATAATATTTAGACCTTCTAGAACCACTGAGGGGGTGGGAAAACAATTCCAAAGGACCTGTTTGTGAAGCCAATGCCAGGTAGACCCTGTGTGTGATATCAAGGAGAGACCAGAGATAGAAGCATCCTCCCTCTTACCCTGACCCACCCACGCATTCCCAGGACGGTGAGTGAGAAATCTCATCAGGAATGGCACCAACTCACAGTCAGAGTGGACTTTTATTAGGAAATCACCCTGAAAACACACCATGAAGTGCTGTGGGTTCAACGAGTTTCCTGAGGAAGGAAAGTCACAGTATCGGAGCTGTCAGAGGGATGGGTAGCACAGCCTGTGAGTCCCACGACCACTCGAGGCTGCCTGTGGCCAGCACTCCCTCACAGCAACAGGCTTCCGCCGTAAGAGCCGACACACAAACGCAACACGAGAAACACGCCTGAGCACACACATCTGCGCTACACTTAAATAATAATAAATACAGAATTCCATTTGCTGTTATTCCTGCCTGAAACAAAAGGAACCCAGAAAGGGAAAGGAAAATCAGATGTCTTTCTCTCCATTGTACCAAGGGGAAAAAAACCCAAATTATCAAAATTCCTCAGTTACAAAATACTTTTTTAAAAATTCCATTATTAAAAGAATAAATAACAAAATATATAAAAAATAACTTGGTTGCATCAAAATTATAACTAGAAGTTATATCAAGATTTGTTGTGGCCTATATTATAGTCAAATAGTTCTTTTTGCTTTGATTTCACTTTTTGTCCCTCTTATGGTGCCCTGGTGTGGGGTCTAGTTGAAATAGTATAAAATTAATAAATAAAAATGTTAAATAAATAGCAAACATTAACATAAGAGGTTGTAAATATAAATACTTACATCTTGACAAAATTAAATAATTTACAGAATAATTAAACTAACTACTTTTTAATTTCTTCCAGGAAGTGCAATTTCTCTACTTTTAAATACTAGCTTGGAATCGCAGTCACAGTCAACTTGGACTCTATTTACACAGTAGGAACATTGTGTTTTTAACACATTAAATTAAAGTTTACCTTTTTCCCCCATCTTGAATGTATCTAAAAAGAAGTAAAACCTTGGTGAAGGAATTTACCCCCGACCCCAATGACGTTATCTCCACCTCCATCACCTTGGACACAGAGACCAAGCCCAGTCGTGACCTGGGTAATGTGGCAGTGATAGGTCAGGGGCCTGGGTGGATGCACAGAAGCTAGAGGCCTGGCCCGGTGGTCCCTGGACTTAGAGCCCAGACCCAGGGTCTAAAGCCTGCCGTCCAAAGAGGGAGGTGTGACCTAAGGCCACACTAGTCTGCACAGCCTCAGGTCACCAGCCACCCCCAGACATGAGGCTGATTTCCAGGGGCTTCCCAGGCTAAAATTCCTTGAACTGACTATGGTCTGTGACACTTGTCAACTGTCTGGAGTGGCCTTCTGGAAGGCCTATTCTTAATTTTCCCTCTAGAACAGAGTTTTGTTCCATCCTTAACACAAAACGGAATTAAACCAAAACAGAAAACACACTTGCCGCAGGGGCCCTCACTGAGCACAGACACGCTGCCTGGGCACGTCCTCCAGGCTGAGACACCACCAGTCGCTCCACCTGCCCACCGCACCGTGCCCACACTACCCTCCCAGCCTCGACAGACAAAGGAATACTGTGGTTGCAAACTCCAAAACTTCCCTGAGAACCTTGTCCATGAGCTTCCGCTGGAGACTTTGAGCTGCTCTTCAGATTTCTTTCAGAAAACAAAAATAAATCACTTTGTAATACTTCAGTGCCCCCGTGCACTCGCATGGGGCGGTCTCAGCCCCAAGCCTAGCGGGGGGGCATCATGGGAGACACTGATTTCCAGGCACCCCTTTGGATAAACCCGCCGAGGCCACACCAGGCTGCGAACAGGAAGTCACTGTGAGCTGGGAATCCCCTCATGCGGGGCAGGGCGAGGGAGGTAAATGATGCATTGGGCTGGGCACTCCTCAGGACCACGCGGCCTAGACCTGGATGCCCCTCACAGCCTGCTTGATGCTCTCCAAGAGATCCTTGTTCTCAGGGTTCTGGTAGCACTCCTGGTTGGAATACATGTCGGTGAGGGTGCTCACATAGGCGTCAAAATTCTGTTCGCATATTGGCTCCTAGAGAACAGAATTAGGTTGGCAAGCCCCATCCACACAGTGAGCCCCACACCATGGAGACCTCCACGGAGACATCCCCACGTGACCCAAGACAAGCCCACAACTACTGGGAACAGCACAGGCTGTGCCACCCTCAAACAGAAACAACCTTGAGTGTTTTCCTCTGCAGTGATCCCAGTGACAGACTTTCTGCTGTTAGAACCACTGTCTTGCTTTGTATTCATTATTTGGGAGAGCTAGAGCCACCAAAGTCCTCAGGTCACTAGGCCATTCGGAACAGAGAGAACCTCCACAAGGGGCACAGAACCCTTCCAGTAAAATCCAGAGGCAGAGCAGTGAGAGATATCCTGCCCTCCCACCCTCTGAAAGGGCCCTGGGGCAGCCACCAGCTCGGCTGTAGTGCCAGCAGGGCCGCGTGCTGCCTACCATGTGCGGAAGGCGGATATTGGCAAGACTTTGGATGAGGGCCTGGCTCAGGCCGGACAGCTCCAGAAACAGGGCTTCATTCTGTTCCTCGATGAGCTTATTCTCCTCCTCGATGTTCTTCAAGTTCTTCTCCATGGAGGAGATCTGTGCCAGAGAGAGAGTCAAAGTGTCACCTGCACTTGACCCCCTCCTCCTGGGAGTACACTGGGCCGCACCTCGCATCTCTCTGGTAGAGGGCAGAGCCCTGGGGTAGGGAAGGAACCAGGGACCCTGCCTTCCTGTAGGGGGCCCTGACACAGGCAAGGGGCTATCAGAACCCTGATCCCTGGATGGAGAAGAGAAAGGCCGGTGCCCTCTGGAGACACAGCCTAACCTCAGGAAAGCCAGGGAGGGGATGCAGCAACCATGCCAGGGCTGCATGTGGCATGGCTCTCAGTGCTGAGAGCTGTCTCATGGATGTCTGTCCTGAGGGATGGATGCCACAGCACCCCAGTCTCACCCAGAACACCTCCATGGTCTTAGCTTCACTGTGCTTCCTCCTCCTATCTGTGAGATGGGAATTACTGTACCAGTGGGGATCAGACTGCTTTTCGGTCTTCTGCCCACCAAAAAGACCAACCAACTGCCTCCCCAGGGCCTCGCAGGCACATCATCCCTGGGCCGAGCACAAGCAAGTCTTCCTACTTCCCCACCCTGGCCGTGAGCCTGCCAAGGGTTACACTGGTCTTGAGGCCTTTGGTGTTAGGAACAACCTGACTGTGCATCTCTAAGGAGACACAGGGGCAGAGGCTGAGCCTCCCAGGAGGATAATTCCTCCTACAGGTGAATGAATGGTGAGCTCCATTCTGGGAGGCTGTGGATGGGGTTGAGCACTCTCCTCTGCCACCTAGTGACAAGCAGGTAGCTTTAAAAGGATCGCATGAAACATAGGCCCTGCCTTCTCTTTGTCTTTGCTCTTCCACAGAGGACACCACTCACCAAAGGCTCTCAAAGGGGCAGGGAGCTTCTGAGCCCTTACAAAGGGATACCAGTGAAAGGTATAATCTGCCTTTTTTTTTTTTTTTTGAGTTGGCGTCTCACTCCGTCATCCTGGCTGGGCTCCGTCGACCTGCTGGGCTCCGGCAATCCTTCCGCCTCAACCTTCCAAGTAGCGGGAACTACAGGCACATGCTACTGTGCCCGGCTAATTTTTTATTTATTGTAGAGATGAGGTCTCGCCAAGTTGCCCGGGCTGGTCTCGAACCCACAGGCTTAGGCAAACCATGCCTCGGCCTCCCAGAATGCTGGGATTACAGGCTGAGTCACTAAACCTGGCCTATAATCTTCCTTTTAAAAGATTGGTTTTGGCAAATAAAGAGCAATCAGAGGTGCCGCCACAAGGACACTAACACTGATGAGGGCCCTGGGGACTTTGAGAGGGAAGAAACGGGGAGCAGAGAGTGTGGCAGCCACACAGTGCTGCCTCTCCACACCCAAAAATGTCACAGGAGACAGGGCACCCCAGCCAGGAGGACCCAGGGCCCCTTCTCTGTGGTTCTTGCCTGTGAGCCCAGGAGGACACTGCACTGACACACACATGACAGAGCGAAAATCCTTCCTGATCTCCATGGGGCGATGCTATTTTTATATAGGCTCTTGAGGAATAAGCAGCCAACGTGAGCCTATTTGCCAGCAGAGACAAAAGCAGAGGAAAGATATGTGTGGCTGGAATGTGTCACCTGCTATCTGCAGCTTCGGGCAGGAGGGCCCACTCTCTTTCCCTATGGGGCTTGGGTACCTCTTTGTCCCTTTGGCCCTCCAGCCAGAAGAGACACAGTTACTGCCCACTCCCCCAACACTGCCAGCGCTGCTCCTCAGCAGCCCCAGGGTGGGGCATGTTCTTACTTCTAACAGAAGATCTTTACTGCTTTTTTCCCTGATTACAAATGATCGTTTGGGGGAAAATTAGAGAAATGTAACATATACACTAAAAATAATTTGTAATCCTATTCCTCAGCAACTGCAGCTGTCATCCATGGCACTTATTCTGGGTCAGACACTCATGCTAAATGCTTTCCCCATAGAAATGTGTTCACCAGACAATGACCACATGAAGTGGAAACTTATTTTTTTTCTTTTTTTTTTTTTTTGAGTCAGGGGTCATACTCTGACTGTCATCTAGGCTGGAGTACAGCAGCACCATCATGGCTCACCACAACCGTGACCTCCTAGGCTCAGGTGATTCTTCCACATCAGCCTCCTGGGTAGTTGGGACTACAGGCAAGTGCCACCATGCCCAGGTCATTTTTTAATATTCTGTAGAGACAAGGGTGTTGCTATGTTGCCCAGGCTGGCCTCAAACTTCTGGCCTCAAGTGATCCTACCACCTTGGCTTCCCAAAGTGCTGGGATTACAGGTGTAAGCCACCATACTCAGCCTAGAATCCTATTCTCTCCATTTTACTGAGGAAGAAATAGGGGAACAAGCCGGGCTCGGTGGTTCAGCCTGTAATCCCACGCCTTTAGGAGGCTGAGGTGAGTGGATTGCCTGAGCCTGCGGGTTCAAGACCCGCCTGGGCAGCCAGACCTTATCTCTACAATAAATCAAAAAATCAGCCGGGAGTGGTAGCGTATGCCTGTAATTCCAGCTACTCGGAAGGCTGACCTGGAAGGATCGCTGGAGCCCAGCAGGTCGAGGCTGCGGTGGCCGGGAGCGGCCACTGCACTCCAGTCTGGGCAACAGAGTGAGACTCCAACTCAAAAACAACAACAACAACAAAAATAGAGGAACAAAGAGACCAAAAGTTTTGCCAGGTTACACAGCTGGTAAGTGGCTCTGCTTGGGGCAGAACCCAACTACAGAGTCAAGATTCAGAGGATCCATGCCAACAGGACTATTAGTACTAGCAAGACTAGTCACAGGGACAGGACTACTCATGCAGATGAGACTAATACCAACAGTGCTTATCACTCCTCTGAATGGAACTACCAAAACGTTAACAGGACCACCAGCACCAGCACTCAATGTGACTCACAAATGCTGCAACATTGGCATGCAGCACATTCTGAGAGTCCATGTGTGCCAGGTGCTACACTGTCCCCAGGATGGACACCTGAGTGGGAGGGCAGAGAGCCCGGGCTGGGGTGGCATCACTCACCTGGGACTGCAGCTGCACCATGGCGGCCTCCATCTCCGAGTTGGACTCGTTCAGATCCCGGATCTCCTGGTTCAGCTGCTTGATCTCCTCATCATTCTCCAGCACTGCCCCAGAGAGAAACCTCTGTTGTGGCTCCCCAGGCCAGAGTGTGGGGGGAAGCCCACTTTCCAGATAGAACCAGAACCCCCCCCACTCCGCCCCACAAGGCAGAGGCCCCCTTCCAGCCTTTCTAAACTTCTCTCTCTAGGGGGCTTATACCCCACACTTCATGCTGTAAAAGTCTCTCTTGAAAACTGTGAGACCAGTGTTTGCTGTTTGCCTCCTGCTGTGGGTCACAGGTAGGAAAGCTTAAGCCTCTTTAGGTGGTGTTAATTGCTAAGATAACAATGGAAGTTTGTCCAAATGATCCTGCATTTTCTCACCTAAGTGGGATTGAGTCACAACTCTCCACAAACTCAAAGCACATGGCTCCAGGTGCCAGTGGACTCTGATCCCAGCCAAAGCCCTAGATTAGAGCAGGCATGACTACCCAATAGCCAGGAGCCCCAGACACCGGGACCAAGAGCTTCAGAGCCAAGGTGAGGAGGGCCAGCTCAGGGTAAGGGGGCTGCCTCCACCATGACTCATACCAAGAGGGGCTCATTCCCTACTCCCTTCCCACCAGTACAAAGAGATGCTGAGTCCTCTCTCACCCAGGTCCCCGGGCACGTGCAGGCAAACCTAGGAGGGCATGCTTACCATCACTGGTCTTGAACTTTGGGTTGAGAACCTCATCCCCTGAGAGTTTTCCCTTCTTTCCAGCAAATGTTGCTCTGGGACAGCCTGACAAACTGGAAGCAAAGGTCACACATCATTGACCAGTCCAGGGCCACACACCATGACCAGTCCAGACTTGCCCACCGTGGCCAATCCGAGGTCACACATTATGGGCTAGTACAAGACATGGTCCACTTTTCCAGATGACCCTTAGGGCCAAATTGCTTTCCATTACCTTTGTGCCCTGCCTGGGGAAGAAGCAGTTGCATCTGGGCACGGGGATGCTGGGGAGCGACCCCATAGCTCATCCCCTCTGGCACAGTCATAGCCGGCCCTGCCTGGTGCAGGAGAGGCCAGGGACCTTGCTGCTCTGGGCACTGCTCCCTCAGGGGCCTGAGGTCCACATGAACTGCTTGGTGGTACTTGGCAGCCTACCTCCCAGAGAAGCCCCTCCCAGCAGACCCTGCCCCCAAGAGGCCCTCAAAAATATGGTGGTAATGACAGTCACACATGATTCTTTGGATGTTCCAACAGAAACATGCATTTAAATGTGTAGATTCCCAGACACGATTTCATTTTTGTTCAATGGTTGTATCCACACCATAAGTAAAGGCTGACTGAGGCAAGGCAAGACATCCTTAGGAAGCCCAGAATGTGACTCCTCTGCCCACTGAGCCCCAGTAGCCTCCTCACTGGCCTTCCTGGCCTCTCCTCAGATCATGCCAGCTGCTCAAGTCAGACTTGGTTTCCCCTCTGCTCACTGCCAGGGCCCCTCACTCACAGTGAAAGCTGAGTCTTTGCCAGCTGGAAGCCTGGAAAGATCCTGGCTCAGAACTTTCTACCTTGTCTCCTTTCGTCCCCTCCCCTACCTCCAGTCTCCCAGCTCCTCCAGCCTTATCCAGCAGGTTGGTCATTCCCAGCTCCGGCCACTCCACTGAGGGCTTGTCCCCCCAACAGTTCAAGCCTCCTTCTCAGAGAGACCTTCTTTGTGTGCTTTCCTGCTGCTGTTTTTTCCCAGAGTACCTGCCACCATTCACCATACTAGGCATTTTACCTATTTATCTGTTTATAGGCCACCTCCCCACCCATCCTGCCCAAAACACACTCGGCTCTATCTCTAGGGCTTGGTACATAGTATACATGTTTTTGTTGAATGAATGAATGAGAATTAATTTTGTAGGGGAAGGAAGGGAGGGAGGAGGGAGGGAGGGAGGAAGGGAGGGAAGGAGGCAGGTGAAAACAGGGGAAGGGGAGGGGAGGGGAGAGAAAAAGAAGAGTCAGCACTGGCCATGGGCCCAGACAAGGATTTTCTGACAGGACGAGGCACCAACCCCATGCCCCTTGGCTGTTACTATGAGACACAGAGAGGAAATGGGGTTGGTGAAGCTAGGCCCCCTCAGGCTCAGAGCAGATGTCAGAGGACAGGTGAGAGCCAGTGAGTGCTGCCCAGGCCCACTGCCCAAGCAAGAAGGAGTCTAGTTGCCAGGTGCCTTGCAAAGCAGGCAGAGGCCTCTGCCCAAAGTTCAAAGTGGGTCCAATGGGAAGGGCAGGACATAAGGTAGAGGAGACAACTTTTCCTAAGAAGTCGGCAGCCTGTTCAAGAGAACATGTGTGTCAGACACAGGACTCTGCTCACATGTGACCTCCATGTCCAACTTAACACCCAGACCAGAAGGACTTCATCAGGATGAGGAAGGGAAGCTTACAAGACAAGACATGGTGAAAAGGTAACCAATAATATCATCTGGTACCAATAGAGCTTCTGTGGCTTCACCCCATCGGCTACCCATTTGACCTTGCTTTATCTTGAGAAAATTCTGGTCACACTGAGCCTTTGTCTGACCCTCCCTCGGGAGCCTCACCCCCAACCCCAAGGCCAGGGTCTCTACTGACTGCTTGGAGAGGGCAGGGTATATGGGGGACAGTTACCTTCGGTGGGTAAGGAAACTCCCATTGGCATGACCAGAGCCATCACAGCCTGGGGTGGGGCAGGTTGGCCCCTCATTCTTCAGTGACTTCCAGGACAATGAGGAGCCATTGAGGGAACCTTCTTTCTGCCTCCGGGCAGCCAGTGGGCAGCCAGATGCACTTCTGTGAGAGGCATATTTTCCACTGATGTGACCAAGTCCCACACAGCCTGGAACTGGGCATCTGGATACAGAAAAGCCAGAGGTGAATACAGGGGTGCTGAGCTGGGAGGAGAAACCTAGAGACCCTCCTAAGCTAGACACAACATCACACAGAGGCAGGGTCCTGCAGCCTCAGGGGAAAAACTGAGCGTAAGTATGGATCAACAAATGCCCCAGGCACAGCGTAGGTCAGAGGACAGTATACATACTGTAGAGGGCCAAGGGCTTTCCCTCTCTACATGTCGGGAGAGACACTTGGACCAGGATTTGGGGATCTGCGGAACCAGGTCCCATGCCTGACCTAGGATAATTTCTTCAACTTGCAAGTTTCACTTTTCTCTCTCCAACAAATGAAACTCATCCAAATTACCCTTTGTCACACACTCACTGTGCTGAGTACCTTGAAAACACAGGACTGCAAGAGAGGACACCATTGTCCCATGCACAGAGAAGTCCCTGGGGGTACAGGGAAGTCAAAGGCAGGAAGCCCTCAGAAGGACAGAGGGCCATCTGCAGAGGCTCCTGCTGCAGGGATGGGTTGGGGGCACAGGGTGTTGCCCAGTAGGAGGTCAGCAAGAAGGAGAGGGTGGTCCTGGGCTCATTGCCTGGACACTCTGGCCTCATCACAGAGATGACCACTGTGAACACCCTTCCAGCCACCCCAGCCAAGCTGCTCCTCCTCTCTCCTCACAGGCCACTCTCTTGGTCCCCATACCTGTCTTGCTTATCCTACCCACCTTGCACTCAGACACTTGTAGGACATCCACTGAGCCAGCCCACGCTCATCTCATCCCAGTCCAGAGCAGAGATACTTCCCCATGGGGACATTGGGAGTTTCATATTCAACATCCAGGCACCCTCAAACCAGGATTCCCTCCCAGTCATGGGGCTCTGAGGGTCCTGGGCCAGGAAGAGGTACCTGCTGAGGCTGTGGCGCCATGCAAACAACTGGCGAAACAGGAGGTGGCACTTCCATCACCCCACACAGCTGAATCTGAATCTTTTTACCTATTTTATTGCAAAAACCCTAACCCTCCTTGTCAAGAGGAATTGTTACTGTTCCCTGGGGCAGCACACATGCAGAGTACTGCAGATATTATTTTTTTCTCTCTTAACACCCAGTGTGGAACCTTCAGAACCATCAGGGATATCACGTTAAGAGGTACTTGGGACCCAGAGTGGGCACGGCCTCTGTACTTCTCACATGGGCTGCTGTTTCCTAGCATTTGGTGAGGCGCAGGAGCTGTGTGTGCCAGTGACGTGAGGAATATGGCCAGGACCAGGGACCAGAGATGCATTTATCAGAGGCCAGTGTGGCCAGGGGTAGCATGGGTCCCCTCTGGGGGCAATGGGCAGAACAGGGGGAGCGTTCAGCTCCTAACCCCCACGCCAGAACCTCCATAGACTTTTGTGACCAGTTATAAAGCTGTGGCAAAAGGGATTTGCCACGAAGTGCCAACATGACTTAATCCTAGGTGGCACAGAGGTGTCACAAAAGGAAAGCCTTCCTCTGCCAGCCTTTTCAAATCTCAGTGCTTGCAGGCTGACAAAGTCTCTTCCCTCAGCAGGACTTGGTTTATCATTAACGTTTCTGCTTTGGTATGCACTTGTTTGAAGATGCTATTCAATTATAAATACAGTTAAGGTTTATGGCTGGGGGTAAGCCCTGTAAAATGGAGGCGCTTAGTGAGGGTCCTCACTCCACCCTCACCCCTGCTTTGCCATGGAGGCATGAGGAACTTCATCTGTCCTGCAAATGCTGAACTCTTTCTGAAAGTCACAATCTCCACTTGGCTACAGAACTCTTGTTTTTTTAAAAGCAAAATTGACAGCGCATTAGAAAGAGGAAAACCATTTTTCCCAGTTAATTTGAAAAATGCTGATCTTGATTTTAATCATTTGCAAATGCAGCACAATTCACTTGTAATATCCCTGCCAGCAAAATCCTTGCTAAATCCATAAAGGCATTGCATTATGTGATCACAGGCAAATTCCTGGATTCTCAGGAGGAAGAATACCCTTTAGCCATCCCAGCATTGAGTATGTGGCATTCATATATACCAACAACTACATATTTTGCATTGTTAATTTAGCATTCCTTACAGTTTTATTATAAAAAATTAAATAAACAAGCCATGGCCTTATTACACCAAACAGCTGGTCGCCTTCTGAAGAACATGATGCTGGTCCATTAGGCCCCTCCTTGGTGGCCAAGCAGATGTGTGGGCACAGCTGGAGGAAGCTGCTAGGAGGAGCAACCCAGTCTTGGGCCAAGTTGCCCCCTCTACAGAATGAGGATCGGCTGTTCTTGGCCCAGCAGTAACATAAGGCAAATCTGCTTCCTATGGGTCTACTGGGCCCTTCCTCAACCAAGCCAGCCCCATGGCTGGGCAACAAGGTGGCTAGAGCCATCACTTCCACTGCTCACCTGCCAGGGGAACCCCTGCCCACTTTGCCAGGTGTCAGCTCTTACCACATTCAGGGGAAACTTTGCTCAGTCTAGAGCAAATTGGCCAGTGGGTCATCCTGTCTGAGTCTGTGGCATAGTGTTGCCCCCACTTATATGTGGGCAGTACAGGGAGAGTTCCCTACTGGAATGATAAGCTTGCAACAATACAAACCCCCACTGAGTAAGGTCGCATACAGAGTCAGGGTTTACCTATGAGCCATGCCAGACTTCCCTCACCCCAGTGAGAAGGGCAGTAGAGGGCAGTCTTTTAGCCTCAGGAACTCAAGGCCAAGGATGTCCTCTTTCCTCTCCCAGCAGTGTCTGATTCCCAGTTTCAACCCTCCCCAGCTCTCTCAGTCTACCAGTTTCCACACAGTGTATGGGAGTGTGGGCACATGAGATTCAAAGATTACACATATTTCTAATCATCCTTAACTCCTTGACTCCTGCACCTCACCTTTCTTGCTACACAAAAGTCATGCAAGTCGCAAGGCCCTGGGGCCACCCTGCGGTCCACACCCAGGTGGCTCCAGGACATGGGCAGCAGAGTGCTCTGACTCTCCCAGCCCCACCCAACACCCAGACCTGAGAGGGTCAGAGGGGCCAACACCTGTGCCCTGGACACAACACCTAGGGCTTATGCCTTCATAGGTGCCAATATGCAGGGTATGAGAACTTCCATTAAAAAAAAGTCAGCATTGATTACATTCGTGGTCCATTGTATTAATGAAAAGAGATTCCAGAAGGTGCTTTTAAAGTTATAAACTTTAGGAAAATCCCAATTCTGCAGAGCAATGACGGAGCCAGGCAGCCCGACATACTTCATCAGCTCCGGGTCCTCCTTGTCGTCCTTGGCAGGTGCCACCTTGACTCCACTTTTCTTGGCACGAGGGCAGCCAGACAAGCTGGTTTGGAAAGAGGAAAAAAGTCCACCTTAGTCCTGAAACAGCAGCTCCTCACACCCACCCACCTCACCCTCTCTCCTCAGGCTCCATGACCCCCAGTGGTAACACAGGTAGTCCCAGGGAGAGAGTGAAAACAGGCCAGTAGATGGACCCATCGTGAGAAGCAGACACAGAGCCCTGCAGAAGGCATCCAGAGTGAGAAGCGTTACCATCACCCCCCATGTCTTGTTCTCTTACTTCAGAGGGCAACCTGATCAGGTTCTAGAAATATAAACAATTCAGATTAAAGAAAGAGAAATGGGGCCAGGTGCAGTGGCTCACTTCTGTAATCCCAGCACTTTGGGAAGCCAAGGCAGGAGGATTGCTTGAGCCCAGAAGTTCGAGACCAGCCTGGGCCACATAGCAAGACCTGGTCTCTACATAAAAATTTTAAAAAACTCAGCCGGGCATGGTGGCATGCACCTATAGTAGTACGCTACTTAGGAGGCTGAGGAGAGGGATCTCCTGAGCCCAGAGGTCGAGGCTGCAGTGAGCCATGATCATGCTACTGCCCCCTAGCCTGGGTGACAGAGTAAGAGCCGGCCTCAGAAAAAAAAAAGAAGATGGAAATGGATTCTAGGTGCCAGCAACATTCAAGTCTCATTCAGAACTGTATACCTTTGTCTGAGGGAGCGATTCCCCACCCATTCCCACTGGCCTAGGACCTGAGGGTGTGGCAGGCTCACCTCCGGTGCGAAGCGTAGTTCCCTGTGATATGGCCAGAGCCATCACAGCCAGGCGTGGGGCACCTGCAGAGAAAAGCAGAGCTGGTGCCAGAGCCCATGGCGTTTGGCCCCAGCCCAAAGCCCTGGGACCCACCAGAGGGAAGCCTTCTGCAAGCCCACCCTACCTTCCCCAGACTGGGGTCCTTAACTGCCGGTCCACAGGGAAACACCGCTGATGCTTGCCCCAAGCTGCCCACTGCCGGCAACAGGGTGTCTGAGGGGGTCATCTCAGGATTTCAGTACTCTGTCTCCTAGTTTCCCCAAAGGGAGCCAGGAAGGCTGAGAGGAAAGCGGCCAACTGTTGTTCAAGGGCAAGTTTTATGCCCAGACACCAAGCCTGGGCATTGGGACGGGCCTGCTGGGTCTACTGTAGCCAAGGGAGATGATGGGCTCCCACATCGGCTTTCCATCAGGTCTAGGTTGGAGAGAAGCATGGGGAACACATCTGAGCCACAACTTTAAACACAGGTGTTCAGGAACCTAAGACAGTTCATCTTCCTGGACTGGCTAAGAATGTCACAGAGGGTGACCACCAGGGATGGACAAATGAACAGATGCTTTTTGCACATCTGCTACATTGCACATAGCACTGGTTTTGTCAGGCCTGGCTGTCATATAGTGTGAGTGCACAGTTCATACAGTCAGTAGCTCACAGCAGAGGGTAAGGAAGGAAAATTCAAGGCATGAAAATCCAACTTTATACACCCCAAAATGTTTGATGAATGCATCACATAAGGTGGTAAAAAATAATTTCACTTTAATATTACAAGCATAGATGTTCTTAATTTTCTCCTGAATGTCCACTGAAGGAAAATGTGTGCGTTCTTGCTGGTGTTAGAGAGTGGGTGGAGGTATCCTGATCCTGTGGGTGGGTCCAACCCCCATCAGGTTGCGCTCTGCACTTTGGGAGGGTCCCAATCCAGACCAGGCAAGAGTTAAGTGTTTGTGTGAGATCAGCCCATTACCACAGGCACTTCACCTTGGCACACAGGCCCTGGGGTGAATACCTCACTTTCTGTGCTGTGACCATGACCCTTCCTTGTTGGAGTCTCCACCAGCACACATGGTGACAGGCTTTTGGGGCAGGATATCTCTTTGCTCGGATGACAGAGGAGGCCAGGTACAACCTGGCACCCAAAAACTCCCACAGCATGGCAGTGCTGGCCCCACCTCCTATAATCTGCTCTCCAGCCCCTCAGGGTTTTCTCGGCATGCCTTCTTAGGGTTCTCAGGATCCCACATCATTGCCCTGTGAGTCATACATCAGGCACCTCTCTGGCTGACCTGTCAATCATTCTTCAGTCTTCATGGGACCACTGTGACCTCCAGCATGGAGATGTGTCACGTCAGGATGTCCCTGATCTCTGAAAGGCTACATCCAGAGAACTTAAGACAGACTGCCCCTACTTCCTGGGTGAGATGCTGTTCAGGTGGCCACCCGGGGCTCCTGTTCCTTGTCTCAGCTCAGGGAAGCATTGAGCAGAACTCAGGTTCAGCACTTTGGGCAGCAGCCACTCAGGTGGCCGGGGCAACAGACCCATAGCTGTCCCAGGTTTCGATGGGGGTAAGCACAGCTCTGGGTTGGAGTGATGTCAACAGCAGTGCAGACACACCCTGAGGGCACCTGTGAGTGAGTCTTGGGTGGTAGTATGACTCCCATAGGGCCAGCAGGTACCTGACACACAAGTGAGGTCATCCTGCATGCCTCACTGAAGCCCACCTCAGCAGCATGTCTCAAGAATCGTGTCCAAGAGAGGACAGTGTTCATGTGTCAGAGGAGAAGCTGTCCTTGCTGGGGGCTCCTTATGCCCCATGGACCCACAGGATCAGCTTCAAGAACACTGCCACCTGTTCTGATCACCTTGTCTGGGCAGAAGGAAGCACCATGTCTGAGGGACACCCTCTGCCTCAGCGACACATGCCAGGTCTCACCTCTGACCCCTATCCCTATGCTGTGGGATCGTCCTCCATCCTGCACAGAGCCCATCATGTCCTGGCAGGTGTCTGGTGGCACCTCAGCCACACACACACGGTAAGCTGAGTGGCCTGAAGTAGCTGTGTCCTCTCAGCCCAGTATTCTCAGTCTCTGACCACACCAGGCACATGAAAGGGAAGAGCAAACACTCTTGAGACTCACTTAAAACACAGAAAACACATCATGCAAGATTGTCTCTGCATCCAGATGTCACTAAAGAGGCCTTGAAAAAGATCGTATTTGCCCCAGCTCTGGAGAGGCCACCTTCACCCACCCCTGCCACAGGCCTGGCTAGGAGCAGCCCACTCCTGATGCCCTATTGGACAGGAGGGGAGGTGGGAGAGCAAGAAGCATGGACACACCAAGGCACGTGGTGGGGTGAGCCACTATCGTCCCAAGTCCACACTGCGCTCTGACGGCAATAAGGAGGTGGCCTCCCATGGAGAGATCCTCAATGGGGCAGAGGCACTTTGGAGGGAGTCAGGCTGCCTCAGCTGCCTTTGCAGACCTTGCTGGGGCTAATGAGCGGTTCATTTTCACACAAGGAAGACTTTTTTTGCTATTTCCAAAGACATATTTGGTTAACATTCTTCACATGGTCTTAGTCTTAAAAAAGCACTAACTCTCCCAGACAGCCATGTCTCCAGATCCAGATCATGCCAAGTTTCCTTCCACCGGCCCTGAGCATCTGCTTCTCAGGACAGAAAGGACACCAATAACATTTGGGCCACTGAGTACATGAGGCCACTTCACTCATTCTTGAATTATTCAGGCCCTCAAATTGGAAAACCGTAGAAACTAATCATGGTTAGAAAAGACAGCAGAATCGGAAAAGAAAATAAGAAAAGGGAATACAAGAAAGACAGCAAGAGAAGAAGGAAAGAGGAAAAGAGGGGAGTCCCTGAAGCTTCAGGACAGTACTTCAACTCTGGGCTTCTGGGGCCAGACAAGAGGAGGGGCAGAATGAATAAATAACTAAATGTGTACATCTGCTGTGGTGATCTGAGCCTCAAAAAATGATTATGTGAAAGCTGTTAAATCCAGAAAGAGCCCTGAGATGACAGGCCTCACACCGGCCTTATCTGTGAGAACTGAAGCACCCAGTGCCACTCCTCCTGGCCGCCGGGTTCAGATCAGTCTCTGCAGAGGATCAGAAACAAAGCTGCGGTGGGGCTTCTGGGGACCTAGAGCTTCCTGTCCTGCTCCGAACCAGCTCAGATCCCTACAGGCCTCCAGCAACTTCATCTCCTCGTCTCAGAGGCACCAGCGCCCTGGCTCTTGTCTGGACCCAGAATGGAACGAGCTAGAGAGAGGAGTGACCTGAGGAGATCAGAATGGGCTCTCCTTCCTCTGAGGCCCCAGTTCAATTCCAGTTGAGCCCCCCGGCTCAGGGTCACACAGGTTATGCAGTCATGGTTCAACTGAAGGCATGAAAACCAAAGGCCATACCAGGCCCTGACTCCAGCCCTAAGAGGACATGGATACCTGGAAACCTCTGGGTGCCTGTGCTGGGTTGTGCAGGACTGCCAGGCAGGCTAGCTGGTGCCCACAGGACCTGCCCTGCTGTGAGCTAGGGCTAGGGAGGTGCAGAAGCAGAAGGGGTGGGCCCAGCAAGGAGAAGCACAAGCACGGAGGCAGGCACAAGGCCAAGGCAGAAGCAGCTGGGCAGTCGCAGGAGGAGGGGGCTGAGGAGCTTCCTGTTTGTCATCAGCCTCCAGTTCATTTAGCAAGAGCTGCATCACCTGCAGCCACAGAACCATGACAGGACTCAAGCCTCAGCCCATTCTGGGTTTCCCCCACATCTCTAGGGCAGTAAGGAAAGCAGGCCCAGACAGCCCTGTTGGGGATCTTCAGGAGAAGCTGAGGGTGGGGGACAGGGCAAGAGCAGCACAGGAGTTTGCAGCAGCCTCCAGCCACCAAAGGAGAGGCAGACAGCAGTGCTCAGAGCAGGGGCACAGGCAGAGCAGCCCCAGCCAAGCAGAATCAGCCCTTCCACAGCCCAGCCCCTCAGCCCCATCCCAGAAGGGAGCAGGGGGCCAGCCTGGGGCCAGTGCCTTGGAGAAGGCTGATTTTTGCAGGAGCCTCATGGAAGGAGAGTGCAAAGCAAGGGTGCCGCTCAAGAGACAGGAGGTCAGGGAGCGCAAACATACTTGAGGTCAGCAGAGTGGGCAGCCATGAGGTTTCTGAGGCTCTTGTCAGCAAGAGGGCAACCAGAGAGGCTGAAAGAGAAGAGATGGGACATTGGGGTAAGCCAAAGAGGGGGAGCAGAGGAAGAGAGGAGGAAGACCCACCACGAAGCACCCAGGCCAGGCCAGACCCGAGTGGGACACGAACCTGCGGTGGGAGGCATAATTCCCGGTGATGTGGCCACTGCCGTCACAGCCGGGGGTGGGGCAGCTGGACAAAGAAAACAGAGTGTCAGAACAGACCTCCAGGCCTGCCCCAGGCCAGGCCCATGAGCCAAGCGGTAGCTCCTTCTCTCCTCTGAGCACAGCCCTCACCTCTCAGCCTGGACGTTTCTCCCACACAACTTAACTCAAGAAGGAAAACATAACCAAATTAAAGTTGAACTTGAAGTCAGGATGCCTCTGAAGCACAAGCACTGTGTGTGCACATGTGCCCTGTGTGCACCCATGAACACGTAGGCAGGCCCTGAAACAGCCTGGCCTCACACCCCTCCACTGAGGTTGGATCCAGCAGTCTTGGGGAGGGCAAGCTGCAGGGTGTGAGGAAACTAGTGGGCTTCAGGGTAGGGAGAAGAGGGAGCCCAGGAATCAATTCTGAGTGCAGGTGAGAGCTGGGTCACCTTTGGTACAAGTGCCAAACACAACCTTTCTCAGTCTTCCAGAAATGGCGGTTGGCAATGGGGCTTCATCTGAAGGCCACTGGCATCTGACTATGGATGATTTGCATCGCCAGCAGCTGGGTTTCAAACCTGTAGACTCTCTCAGAGGGGCAGCCTTGGAGCAGCTGGGTTGCCAGAGCTGAGGGGGCAAGTCCCATGGCTGTGCACTCCAGGCCTTGGGACATGGAGCCCAGAGAAGGTGACTCACTGTGGCCTCAGGGAGAGGACTGGGGCCTCTGGTTGCCCCAGAGCTTCTTGAGAGCTCTCTGCTCATTTTTCCTCAGCTCTCCTCCTGCTCTGCTTTGTCCTGCTTTGCGAATTGAGCTGGGGCTCCTCCTTATTCTTTTTTTTTTTTTTGAGTTGAAGTCTCACTCTGTCGCCTAGGCTAGAGTGCAGTGGCCGCTCACAGTCACTGCAGCCTCGACCTGCTGGGCTTAGGCGATCCTTCTGCCTCAGCCTTCCAAGTAGCTGGAACTACAGACATGCCCAGCTAATTTTTGTGTGTGTGATTTATTGTAGAGACAAGGCCTCACCAAGTTGCCCAAGCTGGTCTCAAACCCCTAGGCTTGGCAATACTCTCACCTCGGCCTCCCAAAGGGCTGGGATTACAGGCTGAGCCCCCGCACCTGACCTTCTCCTTATTCTTAATTACTTTTAGAAGACTGCGTTAAAGCCCAGCACAGTGCAGTGGTGAGTTGCCTGGTTCAAAACAATCAGAACAGGGTGTGGGAAGACCCTGGACTGAGCAGACCTGGTCATCATAGGTTGGGACAAGGACCTGCTCCTTCCCAGAGCACAGAGGGTCTTCTAGGAGCTGTGCCAGCCAAGGAGGGGACTTACGTGAGCAGCTCCTTCTTTATGTCCTTGGAGAGAAACTTCAGCTTAAAGTTGGTCAGGGTGACTTCCCCCGGGTACTTCCGCTCCTCAAAATTCTCTTCCGACACTTCCTGGTCATCTGCTTCAGAAGAAGCAAAAGAATGGGCTGCTGGCTCTGACTGCAAAAAACCAGCAGGGAGATGTTTTAACCAGCTGGCGGGGAGGCCCAGGTGCCCAACCCAGTGGGCGAGGGAGAGGGACCCTTCAGGACAGTGTCCACAGAAGCATTTCCCGGAGTCTCCTATATTCTGAACAAGGGAGAAAAACTTAGTTCCTCCCAAAAAGTCACAAAGAGAGCACCCCTGAGGAATTGGTTCCTCCCTCACTGCAGCCGAGCTCCTGAGCTGCCCCCCAAACAAAAAGGCCTGATGTTGCCCAGCACAGCTGGCTCCTGACACCTACTATAGCCTCAGGCATGGGGGTCACCTCCATCAAGTCATCCCACAGCATAAACACCAGGACACCGTTTCCTTCAAAGCCAGTGACAGTGCTCAATAGACAGAAGGCACAAATAAATGCTGTTGAAATGTCATGTAGATGAGATGGCAAAGTGAGAGCAATAACATAACAATTATGATAATCATGGCGACCTTGAGACCACCTGGCCTGACACCCCCACCAGTGCGATGCCTTGACCACAGCAGGTAATTGACAAAGGCTTCGAATGGAAGGTTGGGCTAGAGGGCATGTGCTGCAGACACGGGTATGCAAGGTGCCGTGAGAAGAACTTGAGGGGCCAGGAGATCAACATTCTGCAGAATAGATGTAACCACAGTTCAAATTCCGATGCTGACAAGTACTTGCTGTGTGTCTCAGGCCAGTAGTTCAACGTCTTGCAGCCCAGATACCACACTTTTGCACTTGAGCTAACAACAGTCCTCTCATAGGTTTTGGGGGATCAAATGGAGAAGTACCTATGAAGTGCACACCCCAGTATGACAGCAGTCTCTGGGTAATTGGATGGTGGATCTTGTCGATGCTGTAGGTGCTGCCATTATTACTCCCATCACTATAATTGAATGAGTCTTGGGGAATGTGACTAATTTACCTCAGAGCACATATTCAGCTAAGTCTCAGGATGAATGGGGGCTTGTCAGAAGCAGAGAGAGGAGACTATTCCTGAATAGGAGAGCATTTCTAGGCCTGTGGGGCCCGAAATACCCAGGGACAGGGGCAGGGAGTGTAGGAGGTGAGGCTGCAGAGTAGGTGGCAGCCTTACCCAAGACAGGTCAGAAAGGGAGTCTCAGGCAGAACTGGAAGGGGGATCTGAGTCAGGAGCCCACAGTGGCAGTAGAGAGGAAGGGCCTGACTCAGGAGGTATGTCCGTGGGTGACCCATGCCTAGGAGATGGGTGGGAGGAGAGAGGGAATTTGGGCATGAGCTATAACTCCGGGCTGCAAAGTGGACCACTGGCCATAGTTGCCTAGTGGAGTGTGGGGGCCAGCTTCAGTGGACAAGGACCTTGGGGTCTCTGAGACCCCGGTCACCCCACAGATGGCGGTTGTATTCCTGGGAGGGTGTGTTAAGGGAGAAGAGGAGGGGGCAAAGTAGCCCAGGAGGCCAGCGCTGAGCTGGAGTTGAGGAAGGAGATGTGGAAGGAGCCCAGGACACAGTGTGTTTGTCACCCTCCCACTTGAAGCCAAGATAATAGCTAATTGAGGAGTCACGGCCAGTGGACCCAGAGGACATGGTGAGGGTAGGGAACAGATGGGAGCGACCTAGTCTTGTGAGTAGGAGGAGGACACAAGGACAACAGCAGACAGTGGAGACATGGCACAGGAGGACCCACACAGGAGGGCACCCACCCCCCAGACAGGGCTCCCACCAAACACAGGGAAGCCAGGCTCAGCAGTCTCCATTAGACCTGGCTCCAGGGCCACCTCTCTCCTTTCAGGGCTCAGTCTGGGGTAGTGCCTCTTCTGGGACCTGACACCTGAATGGGAGCCATTGGCAGAGCCCTGTGACTTACTCAGGGGCCCAGGCTACCCCTTGTAAAATGGGGTGTCACGAGGCACATGAGGGCAGCATGAGAGTTGATGCAGGAGTCTGGATCCCAGGGAAGCTGAGCTGTGGAGAGGCCTGGCCCCACCTCTCCACCCGCCTCAGAGGCCTGGCCCTGCTCCTTCCGTGGGCACCCCTTCCTCCTCCTGAGGGGCTTGAGATGGAAAGGGGCCTGCCAGGGTCACACTTGCTGCGCTGCTGCCACCTGGACCCCAGGCCATCCTTCAGGACATGCCAGCTTAGGGAAGAATCCAGAGCCAGTTGGCCTCTGAGGGCACTACTTGTACATGTTTTAAGGAACTCCTGAGATGGGAAAGTTCTCCTGCTCCCCAGGTCACAGCTCCAACACCTAGGGGGTCTCAGGGACTTGAGCCACTGCCCACCACAGGGATGCCCTGGGTCTGGAGCTTCCTCATTTACCTCAGCCCAAGGAGCCAAGCAGCCAGGCCTGCCTGGATGGCAGATGTGCTCTGCAGGTTGGTGGGAGGCTCAAAACGAGGAAGCTGGAGCCTCTCCTGGAATTTGAGAGGCTCCAGGGTGCCCACACGGTGCTGGTCACCACATTCCAGAAGTGAGAAGTCCGCCTCCTTCTTGACGGACAAGGCTACAGCACCACCCTGTAGTAGAAAACCCCTCCCGGGCGCCAGGAAGGTGAAGGGCCCTGCACAGGAAGAGATGAATCCCTAGCGGTTTGCCAGAGCCCGTGAGGAGGAGCTGCCTGGAGAAGAAAGCCAACGTCGCAGCAGCCCCTGGTTAGGGCGAGCGCAGCGGCCGCCTGACGCCGGCACCCACCTCCTCAGGCTCCTCCTCTCTCAGGCGGCTAGGCTTGGTGTAGTCCAGAGGCCGATCCCACTCGTCCTGGCGGGAAGCCTGGCTGGACTGGGGGGAGGTCATGGAGCTGCTGGGGGCGCTGGCGCTGCTCTGGCGCTGGGAGACATCGGGAGACTTCACACCAGGGCTGCTGCTGCAGCTGCTGCCACCAGGGAATGTGCTCTCCCGCCTGCGGTGTTTGTGCATGCTCAAGTCCAGGGTTCCATTTTCATCCACCTCGATGTCCACAGACTACAAAGACAGAGTGAAATCTGTTATGGATTCCAGTCCCTTCCCACGAGTGCCTTCCAGTACATGTTGATCAAATTGACAGAGAATCTAGAACACTGATTCCCAGAGAAGGAAGCCAGCCAGGAAGAAGAAAAATGTCAACTGCTACTTCCAGATCTCCCATGAAGAAGGCCCTACAATTCCTGTTGCCTCTCAGCAGCACAAAACCAGTCCCTTGAAACATGCCATAAGCATGGGTACGATCAGGTCCACTAAGCCAGGAGAACCGGTCAGTGAGCTTGAGACTCACAGGAAATACATTGAACAGGGTATTTGCACACATGTATGCCCAGCCCTCACACTCAGAGAAAAACACATGGGAACTTGGCATGTGCACAGCCCTGGGTCCCCATTAGCTCAGCTCACAGGAATCTCCCAAGGGAGATCCATCCATTCTCTGCAGTCATGTGGGACCATGGCCAGGAGGCAGAAAAAGCAAGAAAGAGTATTATAACTAGACACCGGCTGTTCCTAGGGACTTTTCATGTAGGAAGCAGGTGGGCCCGACTGCAGATTCCACCAACTCCTTGCTCCCCAGCACTAACCTTGTTCGGGAGGTCTTGTGGCTTCGTACTGAGGTTCTCCGGCATCTCCCAGCAGCGTGTGGAAAGGTTCAGGATGGCAGTGGCGGCCATGTGTGCAGCCTCGGCGTCGTGTGAGTAGTCGAAGCCTGCAGAAGAGGATGAAGTGCTCCTCACATAACTACTGGAGGGACTGTGCCTGGGGGAAGAGGCCTTTGGGAAAGGTTTGGCTGTAAAAAGGGAACAATACCAGGCTGATATACACTTTGAACAGAAGCAGCAACGCAGACTCTGGGGCGGGGGCACTTTGGGAGGGCCCAGGGCACCGCTATGGACAAGGGGCTCGGCCACCCATCCCACTGCCACATCCTCACATACCCCACTCCCACCCGTCCTCCTTTAGGGGACTGAAGAGGCCATCTCCTTTCTTGTCTGACTATAGTTTGGGCAGAAAGAGCAAAACCCTGCAAAGACATTCCAGCAATCCTGGTATTTCAAACAAAGTAACCTGTCTACCAGCAAATGCTTGTTGATGAACTGAAGAATTCTGTGAGTAGGATGAGTGTTTGGCGTATCACCCAAGTAGGAAAATTTTGTTACATCATTTCAAAAGGGCCTAACCCTATTTAGGCTGACTTTAGTGTCCCAGTAACAATCACCGCCTTGATAAAGCAACATTATTGCTCAAATAAACATGACAAATGAAGGCATAAATTATTATCTTTTCTAGTAAGTGTACTGTGGCCATAAAATCACTCTCATGCACAAATTTCTGGGTAACCATGATGTCACCAGTATATTCCAGAAAGGTCTAGACATATGTAAAGCTCATTGAGAGCTCCCCCTCTCTGCCGCCTCCACCACACACCTTTGTCTAACCAGGCATGTGTGCGCCTGGAGGCATGAAGTCCTCCATCCTAAGAAGCAGGTTCTGCCAAAGTTAGGAATAGAGGATCGCACCCTGGCTGGTAGCTTCATCAATCAGTACTTTCATTATTAACACATAGGAAGCTTGTCACTGTCATGTTTGTAGCTGACAACATTCACCAGGAGATAGATGCCTTTCCTAATTTCATGTGTACACTAGGGTACTTTTCCATTTCACATGCATTTCCTGGACTAATGGGCTTATTGCACACATTAGTGCAACAAGTGATAAGAAAATAGGACGCATTGTTCTTGAAAATTTATAGGAATGATTTTTGTCAGTACAATTACCCAGAAAACCTACTAGTAATATCACAAATAACACATTATATTCAGCAAAATGGTCCCCAAGCAGAAAAGCAATGACTTCCTGCCAGAGTACTGGGGCTCAGCCCAGCTGTCACCTGGCCCCACCAAGTCCCACAGTCCAGCCCTCCCCATAGGCAGTGCTAGAAAATGAACACCCCACCACATTGGGATTAAACAGGTTGCATGAGGACAGTGGGAAGAGGGGTCTCTCTCAGAATGAACCAAATCCATGAAATTACTCTTTAGTCTTTGGACATACATGTTCAAAGGACCTGGGTTTTGTTTCACAGATAACTGGAAGACACATACAGGTTCATGATGAACATGGAGGCCGCAGCAAGGGTGAGATGTAGGCCCCAAGAAAGCCACCACAGGGCCCACTGGAACAGCCAAAGTCTCAGGCCTGCATTGTGGTCCCCCCACGAGGGTGGAGATTCCTTCTCTACTACCTCCTCAAGAGGTCCCTCCTCCACTGCCCCTTGAATCCTGCCCCTCCCAGGAGCAACACACGAAGAGAAACAAGAACAATTCTCCCCAACTTACATTGAAAGGCTTTAGGTGAGGTTTCGCTGGTCTGAATCTTTGGGGCAAGCATGCGTTTGCCAAAAACCTGAGCATCGAAACTTGCGTAGTCAAAGGTGACCTTGGAGAACTTCTCCAGCTCCTTGGCCAAGTTGGCCCTGGGTGTGGCGGGGGCCACATTGGGCCGGTAGCTCCCATACGGAGGGACCTCGAGCTGCTTCACGAAGCACATAGGCCTGGGGTGCAGTACAAGGATGCACAGCCAGTGAGGATGGGACCCTGGGACCCCATGCAGCTCCCCAAGTCCCCATCCCATAGCCCAAGCAGGGATCCCACAGAACCCAGTGAGAAAGGAGACAAAGGGAGACATTCCCCTCCCATATCCCACTATCAAAGCCTGGTCAGGATTTCATCCCCAGGGAAAAGTGCTCCCAAAGAAGGCCTATGATCTGTACAAAGAAGAACTGCCTGCAGAGAGGAAGCAATAAGAACTCTGGAGAAACGATGACCTGTCCTCATGCTGACAACATTAGCCAGAGGGAGGAGGGTCTGAGACTTTCCCCAGAACTTAGGAGAGCAAGTTTCAAACAGCTAGGCTACCATGAGTGTGAGCCGTTGGCAGAAAGCTCAACAGCAGCACAGCCCAGGATGACAGCGAGATGACCCAAGGCAGAACAGCCCAGAACTCTCCAGCAAGGAAGAAGTTGGGAAATCCAAAAGGGATATTGGTTGGATTGAGCGCCTTTCAAGGAGTGGCCTCAGGGCCAAGCCTGACCCTTCTTCACTCTGCCAGGGATCCAGCCCTCAGTTATCCTCTTTTTAAAACCAGTTGAGGTGGCCCCTTGAGGGGGGGCTGCTGGAAGAGTTAACAACAGGCATAAAAAGACTACTGCAAGCATTCAGTAATGACTGACATGCTTGGAAGACTCCAGGACTTTAAATACAGAAAAGATGGCATGAAGTCATTGGCCTATAGGGCACAGGAGACAGGAACACTGGCAGTGGAAGCTGGTGACCACACAGGCACAGAAAGTCTTCTGTACCACTCAACTCAGAGAGGAGGAGGCCTCCTGTCTGGACCAAGCAATGACTTCAGTCTGGAAATCAGTCTGGCAATCAATGGAATTAGGAAGGAGCTGATGGTAAGAGCTCCCAGGGCACTGTGCACTACCAGAACATAAGTGGAGACTGAGAATAGAGCCTGGCACATGGAACTGCCAGGACAACTCTGCAACTATGATGGGCCAGTTCTGCAGGGTAAATTGGGCATCACCAGGGGTGGGCACACACCCATTCCCCAAGAAGGGTAAGCAGCCCCAAGAAGGGTAAGAGTGAGATCAGCAGGCACCAGCCTGGGAAAAACTAATTTTAAACTTAACATTGGTACCACTTTTTGACAGCTTCCATGGCCAAGGCTTCAGTCTGAATCTACATACTTACTGTGTGTGACACCAGCAAAGCTTTGCAAAGCTAGCCTACCCCAAGGTGTGATACCAGAAATGTGGGCCAGACAGAATCAGCAAAGCCAATGGGAGGCCAACATTACCAACATTTGTCCCTTAAGCCTCATGAGCAACTTTTTAGTGTGTTAATTGTCCTGATTTTCTAGGTGAACAAACTGTGGTCCAAGTCCCAGGGTTGGAGCCTGTTTGACCCCCTTCCTTGGCCTTCCTTAGCCAACCTGAAACCTGGGTCAAACCCATGGTTTGACATTTTACAAGTAACTTAGATCAAGACAAGGAAATAATTGAATTAGCTGCTGATGGGAAACTAGAAGAAACAACAAATTAGATGAGAGGAAAAAGCAGCTTCCAAAGATCGAGAGAGCCAGCCAGTAGGAAGAAGTCAACTAAGACTGGGGCTGAAGGTGCCCAGTGAATGGGACAGTGTAGAGTAGGAAAGCAAGTCTCCCACCTCCACCCAGAGACCCCACATGTGGGAGAAATCCTCCAGAGCAGGCCAGGGAAGGGGCCAGCCTGTGGTACAGTCAAAGTAATCAACCAAGACCATCTGGCTGGGACTTTACCAAACACGTGCCAGGAAAGGAGGCAGGCAGTGGAAGGGGCTGTGCTGTCATTCACACTCACATCAGCCAGGGTCTCCCTCACTCTTGTTTGGGGAGACAGACATGGAACAGGAGTCTGAGAACTGGGGAGAGGGAGATGTGTGTGAGTTCTGGTTCTTCAGGGAAATGGGGAACAGGGCATCTGCTCAGTGAGGGCTGTAGGAGGCAAAAGGAGCAGATGGGAGTGTCCTCTTGGGCAGTGGGTGGTTCAAGGAAATGGAGACTGAAGCCAGGTAGGGTCGATACAGTTGCCTTGGGCAAGTTTCTAAGCCTCTGGTTTATTTGTGGCACTTACTTCCCAGAGTCACATGCATGGAAGGGACACTAATCTGCATTCTGAATGGTCTTTCAGAAGTCCTCTTATTGATGAGAACCATGTCTACACATGCACACCCACACACACTTGCACACATGTAAAAACACTCATGCCAATGCACACAAAAATGGGCCTGAGAACAACCACATGCATCCTACACCCATGCACACACGGACACCCATGCCTACTGTTGTCTCAGAACCTCAGGAGTCACAAAGGAGGCAGCACTCTGGGGAGCAAGTCCTGCACCTACTCCTCCCTCTCGGCTTAGGGCCTGTCCTTGGATGGGAGAGACAGCGGCAGGACAGCCAGAGGTTAGCAGCTCATGGTGCTTCCTGGATGGCCGTGGCCCTGGGTTGATGCAGTCGGTTCCTTCCAGACTGGGCCACTATCTCCACAGTGAGTCCCTGAATAGTCTCAAGTGGTCACATCAGACACCTCAGGAGAGGCAGAGCACCTGAGGCTCAGGCAGGGCAACTGTACAGGAGTTTGTGCTTTGACTAAGGCACTGACCAATGTGGCAGTCATGAGACTCTGTTCTGTGTGTCCCCAAAACTGACACTCTGTTCTGACCCTGGGGGTGCTGGAGGTGTGTACACACATGAGCATGCATGCACACACACACAGCCTGGGAGAGACCAAGATGCCTCCCGCAGGCATTTTAGAGGTCCCCTCTTGAGCTCTGTGGCTCATCTCACCTGAGGATCCGGTCTGAGTTGGAGCTGTTCTTGGAAGTGTCTCCTGCCTGTGGCTGCTGCTTTTCATGAGATTTGGCTAATTTTTCGGCAGCAGCAATGGGACACCCAGACAAACTGGAAGAAAGAAAAGGAGGAACATCTGAGCCTTAGCCTCCAGGTCTGGCCCGCTGTCTGGGTATGAGGGTCTCTTGAAACAAGGTCACTCGGCTGTGGAAGCTCCTGGTCCACGAGAGGCCCAGAGCCAGGAAGAAGCCTGTAGTCTCTGCAGGACAGGGCTTTCTCTCTGGCTCTGTCCTTGAGCCCTCAAAACACAAGTTGCTCAGTCAGTTTCTGTTTTGGAAAATTCTAAGCCAACCACACACAAAGATAAAACACATCCTAAAGGTCTTCAAAGCTCTGGGTAAAGGTGCCCCTCAGCATGGGTCTGGGTGACAGGCTGTCCCCTCCTCTCCCTCTCCTTCTCTTGCCAGCAGAGCTGAGTTCTGCCACCATCTCTGGCTCCTGCTCTGTTTGCTGCCTTGGAGCAGTCCAGAGTCTCACCTGGACCATGGCCTGGGCACTGACTTTGGGCAACTCAAGCCCTTCCCAGGAAGTGCCCAGTCTAAGACATGGAGGGAACAGCTCCATCTGTCAGAATTGAGTCCATCATGAGCCCCAGGGCCAGCCCCTCGGCCATGATGGGGAATTTGGCCTCTTTTTAGATGAAGTGCTCTCAAAAGCTCTGGCAGTCCTTTCAGCTAAGCCAAAGCATATCCCATGGAGGACATAGCCACCCCGGCACTTCAGGTGAGCCTGGGGTGATCTCACCTTGTCACAGAAGACGAGCCAGTAACTAAACCTGGAGGGTGGTCCGGAAGCCTCACTGTCACCTGGGTCTCAGCACTCCTACAGAGCAGCGCAGAGCTGCTGAGGCTCCTGCCCATGCATGCCCTTCCTCCTCCCGCCCCCAGACCCCCAGCCATGAGCAAGAACTAGTGTGTAGAGGTTTCCTGAATATGAACAGGACACAAAGTCTTTACCTGACTTTCCAGTCATTAGACCTCTCTTTACCAGCACATGCTTACTCCTCCACAAGCTGCCATTTGTTCTCTTGGGACCCCCTGTTACTAGGGGTGCAGGCAACAACACCACTGGGTGACTGCACCTCCAGGTGCTGCTCTGCCTATGAAAAAGACCTCACATTTCAGGTGTGTCCAATCCAATACCTAACACTTGGGGCAACAGGTTGGGGGGAGGGTGGCACCTGGCAGATCATAGCCCTTCTCACATAAAGCTCAGTAGGAATATTCGTTGCAGGCCCAGTTCAGGTTCCCCACCGTATATGAACCCTGCACCTCACCACCACGGCTTCCACCATGGCCCATCTCAGCCCAAGTACCTTCTGTGTGTGTTGCGGTTGCTATTCACGTGACCCTGGCCCGTGCAGCCAGGAGTGGGGCACTTCAGCACGTTCTCATGCATGGCCAGGACTGTAAGAGAACCAGGGAGGAGGGGAGCCAAGATGTCAGAATCCAGTGAGCACCAGCATGGGCTGCACAGGCAGGGCCACCTGCAGAGGATGCAGGACCCTGCCCAGAGGTTACTGCTCTGTATGTAGGCAGATGCGGGACATGGCCACAGGGAGCAGTGACATGGGCAGCTCCGGCTCCCAAAAGCCTGCTGGCAGGGCACCCCCTCCCATCATGGTCTCTCCCTCCTGTGGCAGAAACAGACTCAGTTTTAAAGTCTCTTATTGTTCTGTTTGCTCCTCTAAACTTAATTTTCACAATCACTGCTTCTGGCATTTGCTTCCTGAGTTGTCTGAACACAGAGGCCACTGCAAGAAGACCTCCATCTTCCCAGCTTGACTGACACTAGCCTGTCTCCTCTCATCTACCTATGTTTGTGACAGACTTCCAGGGTCTCTGATCCAGGCTGGCATCTCTAGGTGAACACCTGGGAAAGTTGCATGTCCTCAGCCTCATAAGGCTCAAGTTTGGGCTTAAGCAGTTTGGTTGGTGGGGGTTGGTAGCTGGTGAGGATATGTGTCTGCACAAACCAAAGGGACAGACAAGTTTGTGACCCTGAGCAGGCCACTCCTCCCCATAAACACCACCCAAATACCACAGAGGTGACCAAGCTTCCCAGTTTGGGATAATGGCTAAGGAGAGCTACTCACTCTCCGGGGGGATCCTGTCCTTGTGGGGACAGCCAGACAGGCTGCGGTGGTGAGGATACAACCCAGTGACATGGCCAGTGCCATCGCAGCCTGGTGTTGGACACTTGATTTCACGCTTCTCAGCTCTTGAAGGATCTAAAACACACAAAATGCATATGTTATAGCCAGGAAGTTGGATGGTAGGCGGTAAGGTAGGGGCGGGGACAGCTCATGACCCTTAGACTGCCTAGGAGTTCAAAAAGTAACCGGTGCCAGACAGGGATATGACCCTAGAGAAACTGGCCCACGCTGGCTATCAGTGAGGAAAAACCTGGAGACTGACCCATCTTCCCAAACAGCAGAACATGCAGCGTTTTAATGACACAACCCAGATGGAAGCTGGAGTCCTCTTTCCTGTCTCCTGCAGACAGTGGAGAGGCCTGAAGAGCCAGCCTTCTGTGTCTAAAGGTAAGGGCATTGACAGTATTCCTATCAGAAGGTGTCTTTGGAATTTGACAACAAGAGGAGGACAAAGAAGTAAAGCAACTTATCCACCGTTGTATGACTAATAAATGCCTGGGCAGAAATGTAAACCCAAATCGTAGTTATTGACTTCATCTAGCCTCTGAAGGCCCAGCCAGGACACTATAGAGTGTGGGAACCAACAGGGACGTGGAGGCCTCACAGAGCAGAGCCAATGTCTCAGAGAAACTCCTCCTGGATGTCCTCCTTGAGAGGGTGCAGAGGTCACGACCCCACACAGAGCCCCCACCCCAGAGAAGGAGGGAGAATCCAAAGGGAAGGATCCCAGCTCTGCCACTCCAAGTGAGGGGCCCCCAAATTTGTGCTCAACAGCTGCCTCCTGAGTTTGCTGCCCCTGCCCCACAGCCTCTGCCCAGAACCCTCACTGATCTGTGCCCCACACCAATCCCTTAGAACCAGTCCCACTCTCCACCTTAGCACACGTCTATGTCTGTATGTCCCCATAGACCAACTCAGTACTGCCTGGGGTTCTCAGTTTGGCCACCTGTGTCACCCAAGGCACTGCACCCTGGGTCCAAGACCCTGAAAATCTAGCCCTGAAGGCAGGACACCTTGCATCTGCATCCCCCGATGTCTGTGTTCCTCATCTGTGTCCCACTAAAGTCTGCCCTGATCTGTGCATGCCATACCCAGGCTAGCAATCATACCAGGGCCTCCACTCCTGTCCTGGAGTCTGTCTTACTTTCAACCTCTATCTCCTTGTGCACATGGTCCCTCAAGGCTGAACCTGACTGTGCACCTAAATCTGGGTCCCTAAACAGCAGTCCCCCAGTCTGTGTCACCCTAAATTGTGTCCCCTGAGAGCCATCCCCCAGATTCGCCTTACCCTGAAGCAACATCTCTACTTGTGTCTCCTCAGTATATTTCCCTTGAGTTTGTCTCATATGTGTAGATGTTCCCAGAATATGTATCCCTCATGTTTCCACGATGTCCTGGCTATAATGCCCTTGAATTATGTCTCACTCAACTCTGTCTCTCTCACAATCCAAGTGCATCTTCCCAGGATCTGCCCAAAGTCTGTGTCTCCTGCAGTTTTGGTTCTTGGCCCCAGCATCTGAGGACAACCTCCCACCCGAGTGCTCTGTCCTTATCTGCTCCCTCCCTTGCCTTAGCTAATCCTTCCTGAGAACAGTCATCAGAAGAAAGAGCACCAGGGACTCCTACTACCCAAATCCACCTGGAGAAGAGAGACAGGACTAAAGGTAAGGAAAGAAAAGACCAAAGTCAGGGTAGCACCCTAGTCTTAGGAGAATTGAGGCCAAGTGTCCAGCTGCAGGATCAGCACCAGACACAGTAGAGTGGACAGCGCCAAAGTCAACCTGTCCAAGGCCTGGCCTCCCTGGCATAGTTAGGTTGGCTCTCTTAGAGAGCAGCCTCTGGTCAACCCTGAACCCTGTACCCTAGTCCCCTGTCCTTGGCTACAGAGGTACTTCGAGATGGGCAATCAGCAGGGCAGATACAATCTATCATCCAGATCATGACATCCCAAGTAATAACAGTGGCTGCAACTGTTCATTCAGGATCTGTCCTGACCTGGCACTCCAGTCTCCCAGCACCTGTCCCATACGCCAGCCCAGACCCAGGCTCCTTCCAGCAGCCCACCTGACTATGCTTGCCTCCAGATCAGCCACACTGCAAGGCCAGGGGATGCCAACTGATGCCCTTCACACTTTGGGACCAAATCCAGAGGCAGGTACAGAGCTAGAGGCTGCCACTCCCTCCAGAGGAGAAAGGAACGGACAGCCATCCTTCACATCTGCCTGCTGGGCTCAACCCTGCAAGAGGGTCAAGAGGACCCAGCATAGCTGTAGAAAACAGCAGGTTCTGTCATAGCCCCATCCCTGCCTCAGGTGTAAGTTGGGGCGGTAGGACAGGCAAAGCCCATCTTCTCCAGGCAGCAAATGCTGCTGTGGTCAGCTACTGCAACCATCCTCTCCCTTCCCTATATTCCTTCTCACCCATTTCAGCTCATGTGTCTCCAGATTGCCTATGCAAAGCAGAGGAAGCCCACTTTCTCTACACCTGGCCACAGTCCATGTCGTGTGTGTATCTGTTTCTTTGCTGCTTTTCTGACTTCCCTGGGGCCCCAGACTGTAAGCACCCTCCGCCTGCATCTGCACACCTGGGACAAGGGTGAAAGGAAGGGTGTGCCGGGCTAGGCCACACCCAGCCCCTACCTTTACTGTAATAGCTCTTCCGCACAGTGTCCAGGGACTTCGCAGCCTTCCCTGGCTCACCCAGGCCCAGCGGGCCCTGCTCTGCAGGTGGGCAGCCTGGCTCGCAGACTGTGCGCACCTGCTCGGCCTTCAGGGCAATGGCCTGCTCCAGGAGACCCAGGTTTCCCCGGGTCATCATGTCATGCATCTCCGACTCGTCCGTGACTGCTGACTTCTGGGAGCGTGCATCCTCGTCCTTGTCATCATCCGAGCGGACCTCTACAATGACAGAGTACTCAGGCTTGGGACTGGGTGGCTCTGGGCGCCGGAGCTCAGGAGCCTTCTGGGCAGATGAATGGGAGGCATCCTCTTCAAAGATCACATCAGGAGCAGCCTCCTCCCCCTCCTCTTCCTCCTCCTCATCTTCCTCCTCTTCCTCTTCCTCCTCCTCCTCTTCCTCCTCTTCCTCTTCTTCCTCCTCCTCCTCCTCATCCTCCTCATCCTCCTCATCCTCCTCATCCTCCTCCTCGTGGCCCAGGATGCCTTTCTGTTTGCTGGACTCCTCACTGGCTGCATCCTCCAGGGACTGGGGACACAGCTCCTGGGAACGCTCGCTGGTGACCTCGACGACCTCCTCTGCGTCCTCTGGCTGGATAAAGAGTTCCTTTTCGCCCTCGTCGCTGGTGGCTCCCTCAGCAGCCTCCTCCTGAAGCAGGTGCACGATGCCAGGGTTGGGTTTGGCTGCCTGACCCAAGTCCTCCCCCACCAGGGTCTCTTCAGCAATTTGTCCCAAGTTTAGGAGAGAAGTTGCAATGATTCCCTGGTAGCTGCCATAGCTGCCCTTGGAGGAGCCAGTGGGGCTGCTGATGGGGTTGGATCCAAAATGGAACTTGATGGGGCTCCTTCCTGCACAAAATCAGAAATGCCATGGGGGCCAGAAGAGAGCACATGGGGAGCCTTCAGGCCTCTGGCCCCAACTCACAGGCCAGTGCTTCACTCTGCTCTACTGCCCACTTTTAGCATCCCTGGGAAAGCAGGAAACTCCAGAGGCCAGGGTTTGGGATGGGTGTTTCTGTTGGCCTCTCTGCCTGAATCCAGAAATCATGGTGAGCTTATTTTAGGAGGCAGATCATGAGCCACTGACATATTTTTTAAGCTGAGAATTACTTCGATCTTTTTGTTTAATGATCCTCCCCCATTACATGTACTTCTCAAACCAGGTAAACCTTTATTTGATGGAGCTTAAGGAACAAGTCAGATTTTAAAAATTGTTTCTTTTCTTTTCTTTTTTTTTTTTAAGAAAGTAGGATTTATTGGGAAGACAGAAAAGCTCCCACAGTGGGAGGGGACCTAAGGGGGTTGCCCTCTTTTCTTTTTTTGTTTTTTTTTATTTTTGAGTCAGAATCTCACTCTTATTCAGACTGGAGTGTAGTGGCACTCTCATGGCTACCACAGCCTTAACCTACTGGGCTCAGGCAATCCTTCCACCTCAGCCTTCCAAGTAGTTGGAACTACAGGCATGCACCACCACACCCAGCTCATTTTTTTATTTATTGTAGAAATGAGGTCTCGCCAAGTTGCCCAGTCCAGTCTCAAACCTCTGGGCTCAGGCAATCCAGTCAACTCTGCCTCCGAAAGTGTTGGGATTACAGAGGTATGAGCCACCACACCCAGCTAAAAATTGTTTCATAGTTGAAAAGCAGTAAATAAATTTATATTTTTCAAGGACTCAAATTTAATTCCTTTAATCATAATAACTAAGATGTGGCAGATGCTGACTACATGCAGCCCTATGGGATCAGCAGCTAGGACTCTTGGGCCAGTGCTACCCTCATTGGTAGGAACCAGCCCTGCCATCCACCCACTTCAGGGAGGAGAGGCTAAACCCAGGCTGATGTCTGAATTCCAGATGCCCTTGTTAGTAAGAAAGTTAGTATCATCCTTGGGTCACTACCTTCAGAGGCCCACAGAGTCCTCAATGACCTGATGCTCAGCCTAAGCTGTTCCTCAGCATCTGCCTGTGAGTGTCTCAGGGCCAAGCAGACCCCTCACCCCTGCCCCCAAGCTGCTCTCCCAGAGGGCCAGGCAGAACGGAAGGCCAGTCTAAGACCCCCTCCCCACATAGACACACAAAGACACAGCCCTGTCTGTCTCTCACTTGCACACAGACACACCTGCTGAGATGCACCACATCTGCACTTACACAGCAGCAACAGCCCTGTGTCTGTGTGTCTGTCCTGCCTCCCTCCTACGGCCACAGTGTTTGCACACAAACACACCACAGACTCCAGCAACGCCGTGGGCAGACCTCTCTCCCAGGAAGCCCAGCGCACATCAGCACAAGATGTGCCTTGTTCTCAGACGGAGCTTTCTCTCACTCATGGTGAGCCCCTCCCGCCTGCAGGCCCCGCTTCTCCAGGACCGCACTAAGCGCCTTTTATTAGGGAGAGAAAGAGCGACAAAGCACCTTCAGCTGGCTCGGGGTGATGAATCTCCTCCTGTCCCGACATCTCAGCCTCGGCCCCCTCCAAAGTTCCTTCCGATTCATCTGAAACAGAGGCCTCCTTCACCTCAGCGTCCTCACTGCCGTCGCTGTCCACACCATAGCCCTCGTCCAGAGCCAGCTTCAGGGGATGCGACTTCCTCTTGGACACCAGGTGCTCGGCCCCAGCACACTCCAGCTTCCTCTTCTTGGCCAGGGGACAGCTCTGCAAGCTGGGAAGGGGAGTGGGCAGTGGAGAGAGCCAGACAGGGTCCCAAGTGGCCTTGAACCCAAGCACCCCTCCCGAGGGGACTCCCTCCCTCTCCCAGATCTGCAGCCACTCTCAGCTAGAAACTCCAAACTATGATGTATTTCTGTTCTGACATTTAATTATACACATTTAAAAAGGTCCTGATTGTGTTTTAAATTGCATTTCCTGTTTTTCTTGAGCAATGGGAAAATGTAAACACAGTGGGCTAAGTCCACACCTGGAGTGAGAACCCCCATTTCAGGCTGGCCCAGGCTCCTCTCATCCCAGCTGTCCCTTTAGACCTGGACAGCACCCCACATGTATCTAGTCTGACCTTGGCCCACTTCCTCTCACCCTGGTCCTCTCCTTCTCCACCATAGTCTCCCCTCTAAACCTGGCACGGTCATGGAGAGAGCCTGAGGGCAGGCTGACCATCCAGGATGACCACACTGACAACCCCAGCAGTAGCTCATGTGATCACCACACCTGCTCTAAGCTCTCTGCCCTTCAGACTCATCCAGTCCTTAGTGGGAAAAGGGGACAGGTGGTCTGCCTGCACCCCAGGGGCTTGCCTACGGCCATACTCACCTCCTCCCTCAAGTGGGTACCATGGCTCAGAAGGGTGGGGTGGCTCTGGCCTCAGCAGCCTCAGACAGAGATGGAGGTTTTTCCCCATGAAGGGGTCCAGGGCAGGAGGAAAACTCCTTCCCAGGAAACTCAGAGCCAAGGGACTTCTTACCTTCGATGCCTGGAGTACTTGCCCCGAACATGTCCTGAGCCCGTGCACCCTGGGGTGGGGCAGCTGAGGGAGGCAAGCAGGAGAGGTCATATAGAGCAGTGGTGTTCAAATCTCAGGACGTACCCCAGACCCTCATGGTAGGGAGCAGAGGATTACTCTGAACAGTTTATCTCAAAAGGACTGCTTGCAGTTTGCTAAAAGTTAATGAAATAACTCACCCCATTTAAATAAATGAATGGTTCATTACAGTTTTATGAGTGTGTTTAATTAAAGATCTGTACATTTAAGAGCATGACTTCTAACACCAGAGTCTCCTAGCTGGCTTCCCACTATAGGCATCTTACCAGTTGCCACCAGGTTTTCAGGGGCTTGGGGACAAGACTCTCTGAGGCAACCCTGAACACAGAATTCCTCTCTAAAGAGGGCTCATAGCTCGAGTCTGGCCCAAGCCCACAGCCCAAAAGCTGGAATTATCTGTGGCCATCAATGATGCTGCAAGGCCTGGGGCCACTGAGGGCAATGATCTCTGCACCCTCTGCCAGGTGTGCCTTTTACCCCAGCAATCAAAGCAAGGACTTGATAGGCAGGAAGGACTCTGTGGTCCAAGCCACAGGCCCTAGCTGGGAGGGAGGGAGTGAAGAGCCCCCGTGCCTGAAGCCTGATGTGGGCCCTGCTTCCACTCAGAGAGGTGAAGTCAGGAGGGCTGACAGGCTGAGAACTGACTGCCCTGCCTCAGTGGAAGACTCTTGGGCTGTGTTAAGAAGGGCAGTTTGAGAGGGTGTTGCTGACCCTCTCTCAGCTCCCACCCCAGAGCGGGCAAGCACAGGTGGAACTTCCTCGTCATCAACTATCATCGGTCTGCCAACATGACCAAACTAGCAGAAAGCTCTGGAAACTTCAGATCATGCTGCAACCTCGGCAGCAGGGTCACAATTCCCACAGGAGCCACAGGGAAGAGCATCCACAGGGATCTGTGTGGGCTGTGAGGCCAGGGTCTGCCACATCCCAGGCCTGCAGAATGTTAGATACCACCACGGGTCAGGGACTGCCAGGAGTCACTGCTACCCCATGTCATTGTGGAGCAGCAAGGTGGGGAAGCCTGTGCGAGGCCACCTAAGGGAGGTCAAGACAGTGGCATCTCTGGCTAAGATGGGAAGACCTTGTTTTTAACAGGGTTGACACAGTGAGTATAAGTTTCTTCCTGGGACCAAGCTCTCCTAAAATACAGGCACATCTTTCAGATCCTGTAACACCTGGGACCCAGGGAAGAGGCCACCACCAACCTCTGTCCAGGCACCTCTGATGGTTTCTAGTCTGATTGGCAGGCCTGACTGCAGGCAACTGGGGCCCAACTGGCCATGCAGGCCATACTCACTGACCCTTCAGGGAGAACAGTCTGGGGAACCCAGGCTCCACCTAGCCCTGAACAACAGCAGCCACAAGGGGTCAGGGACTCTGATGTGGATGTTTCCTGCAGCCCTTCAGGGTGGGGCTGATCTTGGTGTTAGATTTCCAATGGAAGGAAAGGAAGGAAGGAAGGAAGGAAGGAAGGAAGGAAGGAAGGAAGGAAGGAAGGGAGGGAGGGAGGGAGGGAGGGAGGGAGGAAGGGAGGAAGGGAGGAAGGGAGGAAGGAAAGAGGGAGGAAGGGAGGAAGGAAAGAGGGAGGGAGGAGGGAAGGAAGAAGAAAGGAAAGAAAGGACCCTGGCAGGAAGGGAGGGGAGGAGGGAGGGCAGGCCACATTTGATTGCAGATTTCCTTTCCAAACAGAAGGAGTTGCCACTGCCCACCCCCCACCGATTTATTCTTAAATCCAGAACCACACTTTCTTTCACTCTCTCAAGATCTAGCTTTGAGACTTTTCACAAAAAGCTCCTTGTTATTGGGGATTTGAAGCTGAGATCCCAATTAGTTGATTAATCACTGAGTTAATCAGGCAATTAGGTGACAGCTGCAATGGAGGCCTTTGGGGACTGGAACTGCCCCCAAGCACATCACCTTCTCCAAGCCACTCCTCTACCTGCCTTTCAGAAGAGTCCTGGCCCCCTGCCAGGTTGGCCAGCACCTTCCAGCCCACAGCTCAGAGGGTGCAAGATGACCTATGAGCCCAAGTACATGGAGCTGACAAGGCCACTCCAAGGAGGAAGCTGGGAACCCACTAGATGGAGTGGACAAGAGACCTAACCAGGGCCTCCAGAGGCTGTCACACTGGCAGACACCAGCCTCAGGCCTTGTGACTCACGTGGGTTCACCTGAGAGCACACAGTGGGCACAGTATTTCTCAATCTCCTCCATGTGCTCTGGGCCATGACTGTAGGGGGAGGAAGTGGGTAAGGGTTCCAGGACTTCAGAGCCTTTCCCACCATGGGAGGAGGGACACACCTGAGTCGGTCCCTCATCCTACTGGATTCCCAAGACCCTAGATTCCCAACATGTGACTAGGGCTGGTGTCAGGTATGCAAGGAAAGTGGTGCGGCTTGGCAGAGGATGGTTCACACCTCCCTATAGTTGGCATCCCGGGTCGCAGCTCTGAAAGACCCAACAGGAACAGCAGCCATCAAAGAAGCTGAGTAGCAGGCTCAGCCTGTAATCCCAGCATTTTGGGAGGCCAAGGCAAGTAGACTGCCTGAGCCTGCAGGTTCGAGACCAGCCAGGTCAACTTGGCAAGATCCCATCTCTATAATAAATAAAAAATTAGCCAGGCATGGTAGTACATGCCAGTAGTTCCAGCTACTTGGAAGGCTGAGGAGGAAGGATCGCCGGAGCCTAGCAGTTCGACTCTGAGGTGGCCATGAGTGTGCCACTATATTCCAGTCTGGGCAACAGAGTGAGACGCCAACTCAAAAAAGAAAAAAAAAAGAAGTCGCAGCTTGGAGTCCTGCACTTCAGCTACCAGCCTTCAAAGGAACTTGCTCCCCTCCCCACCTCAGGGCAGGTAGAGCCCCTCACCCCACTCCCTCTTGTCCTCTGGGTGGGAACCAGGCAGTGTCTCAAGGAACAAATCCCAGAAGAGGAAGGGTGATCTACAAGAAGTCAGGAAACAGGAGTAGCCTCTCTCTGAACTTGGAGATGGTCCCAAACAGCCCCAAAACAAGCATAGTCAGGCCTCCCTGCCTCAAAGATGCTAGCCCCAACCCTAACCTTCGTCTCCAGCAGAGCCTCTCTGAGGCCATGTGACCACGGATGGACCCAGACTAAAGCCCTGCCAGTTTCTCCATTGGTATGAAAGGAAAAACCATCAAACCCATTTCTTCTCTCAGGCACTCAGAACATTAAATTTGGGGCATAGGAAAACTACCAGAGGGCTCCAGAGGTCAGGATGGCAGATCCAGGCCCACCCCTTGGCTCACCTGCAAACTACCACCCTGCTGTTGCTCACAGAACAAGTCTTCCTGGGAGTTCTACGTGAGTTGGTGGGGATGGGCTGGGGCAGGGGATGGGGCACTATGGGCTGTGTCAATGGCGCCTGAGTACCTCATCCACGAAGAAAGTCCCGCACACAGGGTTTCACCACAAGTGATTCTGTGTGCAAGAGTTCATCTGATGTCACATTGTGCACAAAGAATATGATGTCCCTTCCCCAGACCACAGCAGTGACTTTTCTCTGAGAGTCGCACTCCCTGGACTCCTCCAGGATAGAGGTCTCATCTGCTGGTCTGCCAGTCTGACCAGAGCCCATCGTGTCCCAGTAGACTGGCCTCAGGGAGGGGAAAAACAGTATCTGCCAGTTCCTGTGGGGTAAGTGCTCCCACCACAACTGTGCATTCAGTCAGCCAGTGTGAGCCACGGGAACAGTCCACAGACTGTGTCCCCACAGGCAGTGCATGGCCAATAACATTAGTGAACACAAGAGTGAATGGCACCTTCCACTTCAAATATGTTTGATGGCTTGACATAGTCTTTTTTCCAGTTTACTCTGAGCATCAGTTTCCAAAAATGAAGAACTGCTAAAGAAATGGACATCAGTGCATTTTTACCCAGTTTCTCCATCAAAAAGTTTAAGGATCTCACTATTACCAAGTAAATAGGTTGAGACCACAAGATGAATGAAGGTGGCAACATTCAGATGCTCCCAGAAACCCCCTCACATAGGCTGGCCTGGTCCTCTCAGGATGTTTCAAAACAAACAAATCTAGTTGTCTGCCATTTTTTTCCTTCTGGTGTTTCAAAGTTACAAGAGAACACCCAGCCACTTGGATTTGCCTTTCCAACTTCATCTGTAACTTCACCTGTTGCCAAAGTGAACTGCTGTTACCAAAACTGAGGGTTTCCTAGATTCCTGCACCTACTGCTCCCTCGCCTGGGACTCTCCTCCCACCATGTTCCCAGGTGAGTGCCATGCAGAACCTCCTCTGTCTTTTTATCTGGGCCCCTCCATGCACCACACAGCATCAAAATCATTACTTCTTCAGTGGTCTGGCCCATTCAACAGTGTCTTCCCTCCAAGGAGCTGGCCCCTGTGCTCTGGTGGGGCACTGAGGACACCAGACCAGAGGGGCTGGTGCATGGCCTGGTGCAGCTGTAATTCCACCCTGTCCCTGCTCTGTGGCCCAAGACTGGGCTTCAAGCATCAGAGGATGTGATTTGTCTCTTCTGGTGGGATAAACATGAATACCTGAGTCTCCATTTCCCCACCTCAAAAATGGGATAATAGCATTGCCAGGCAATGCTTTCATGAGGTTCCTGGAGATAAAGACACTAATGTGAGGACATCACAGAGTCCAGGGCTCAGAGTATCCTGGCTCCTCCGTGCCCCTCATCTCTACTTCTAAGTTACAGCCTCAAGTGGGGGGTGGGGGGTGCAGGGGACATCGTCTTCCTGTTCCACCTTTGTGCAAGTTTTAGGGAGTGAACTTTGGGGCCCTCTCAATTCCCTGATTGGCAGAAACCATCACTCCACAACGGCGTGGTGAGGAATGAGATGGCCCCTGCCTGGATTTGCTCATGGTTCAGTGAGAATCTTCACCCTAAGAAGTAGGAAGGACATTGTCATGGACCTCAGTCAGCTGGATCATCAGCACACAAAACCACTGTGTGCATCCCATCAGTGGAAGATTCAAGATGTAAAACACCCAGTTCTCTCATCTCTGCCAAACCAGGCGGGTTCCAACCATCTGACACAGAAGGCTTGTCAGATTCTACCAATCTTGTCAGATTCTACCTTGATCCAGGTTTCAGGAACTGTGCTGACAGTCCAGATTCTAGAGCTGAGCTGGTGTGAGCACATCCATGTCCCTTCCATGAGGCTGGAGCATCTCATGATAGGGCCAGGACAGAAGTGAGAATGGGCAGAGACAGGGCCAGTATAGACAGACACGTGGCCGGGAGAAAGACAGCCTCCTTAGGCAAAGAAAAGGCTCCTGGGTTGGGGGGAAAGTAGGTATTTTGTTAGGCTAAGAAGACCCTGTTTGGGACATTTAGGATGTCTCCAGGGTCACAGGCACATGGGTAATGCCCAGTGCTATTGGAAGACTTCCTTACCTGAGGTCTGCAGCTGTGGTCTCCGGGGGTCCTAGGTAAAAGAAAGAAACAAGGAAAACACATGTGGAAGTTAGGATTTAAAAGGCTCATTGCCCTGACAGCATAAATAAGTAAAACAGCTGAGAGGTCTGTCAAAGACACACAGAAGTAATCCTAGTGAAAACTAAACTGTTTCTCCGGGCCCCCGACCCTTTCCTGACTCCCTAGAACGTCCTCCAGGGTCAATGGAGTAAGCTGCTTCCTCCAACCAAGAGGGGTTCCTGACCCACCTCAAGGAACTGAGTGGTACTACAGAGTGGGGCCCATGCTCCACCTGAGGCAGTCTCTCTGGGCTACCAGAGCCAGGGATGGTGCCTCTTTCTCTGATTGCAGATAGAAGTTGGCTTTTGGCAGGAAATATGAACCACAAGATCAAGCTGGACAGAGAAGAGGACATATGGACCAAGCGGCTGGATCCTCAGTGATGGGCACTGGCTGTGAAGATGCACAGGGGCCTGCCTGCCTGGGGTAGGCACCCCTGAAATGCTCGGAGCTCCTAGCCACTCCACGAGGTGCAAAGGAAGCTCCTCAGGTGCCAAGGAGGGGAAGCTGGACAGGGGTTGGGGCTCAAATCCTAGCAGAGTCAGCAGGGCCTCAGGCCCTCCTCCTCCTCATTGCCAGTTCAGCCCAGAAACTTTCCAATCCCTGGATTTCCAGGGAGAGAAGGAAACTGGTGGTAGAAGGCTGGTGGCCTTGCCTTTCCAAACAGAATGGTCTCATAAATGAACTTTGCTATGCCCACTCTATGAAGCTAGGTCTGTCTCCACATCTCTGCCCCAAGGCAGGCACCTTGGGCCAAGGGCTCCTCAGCAGCCCTCTTAAATGTCAGCTTCAAAGCCCAGCAGGCCTGAGGAGGAGAGAGGCTTAAGAGTGCTGAGATCCCAAGGTATGTCTGACCATGAGTTGTGGGCTTGTTTTCCAGGAAAACTGTTGGGGAAAGTAGCATTTACAGCAAAAGAGAAGGCAGCAGCCAAGGACCTGGACACACAGCCAGCCCTGGCCTGGAGGGGAGGGCGGCACTCACCTCGGAGGGCCTTGGATCGGGTGCGAGCTCGCTTATCCTCATTTTCTAAGCTCATCTGCAAGCAAAAACCAACTGTTATGTCAACAGAAAAACTAAACAAGCACATCTTGAGTACAGAACCATCAGGACTTCTGGCCATTTTCTGACTCAAACTTTAATGAAAGTGACTCTGTGGTACAGAATGACAGGAATGGGCTCCCAGAACAGGAAAGGCCTGAAGTCAGAAGCAGCAGGTAGGAAGACATGGGAGGTGCTTCTGGGCAGGGAGCACCAGGATCAGAAGTATCCCATTCGCATGTCCCAGCCCTTGGCAAAGGGGCCACAGTGAACCCTGCCCTCCTGCTGCCCCTGGTTTGTACCTATCAGCAAGCACTGAGGTGTGGGACCTGCCCCACTAAACCTCATGAATGTCAGTGTTTTATAACATGAGGACCTAACAAGGAGCAATACCCACTGCTCACGTGACTGGTAAGTGCCAAGGCACCAGGGCAGGTCACTTAACCAGACTTGGCTACCACCAACTGTGCTGGGTCAACCAACTAAGTTTGACCACAATGTGCCCCCAGAGCATGGTTTCCCACAGACACTTCCCTCCCACTCAGCAGAAGGCCTTAATGCTCCTAACACACTAGGGCCATCCTGTTGGAAACAGGCAGTATGGAGCAGCCTCTGCCCACATGTCCTCTAGCTGCCAGGGTCCTTGCCCAAGCCCATCAGTGTCCCCACCTTCCTATATTCCCTGAATCTGACCAGCCTCCACTGGGATGTTACCCACTACATTGTCCTCAAGGGAGCCAAGGGAGAGCCCCCAGGAGGTGACAATCACAAAAAAAGTTATGCCTGTGCATGACAGTCACAGACAGGCTCCCAGGGGCCACAGGTCATCACACAGAATCCTTGTCCTGTGTCACCCATAACAAATCTGGACAAACAGGTAAAATCCCACACACTTCATGCAATGCAAAACAATCCTATCTCAAGGAGCCAGACCAGGCAGGGTAGGGGGAGCTCCCTGTACCCCTAAAGGCCCAGGAGGAGGGCAACCAAATTCACCACCTGGCATCCATAGTCAGGAAGAGGAGGCAGCAAATCCACATCTGTCCCAGGCCACAGACACCAGAGCAGCTAGGGTTCCATGAGGTTGTCAAAGGGAAAGCAGGAGAGTGGGGAAAGTCACAGAAGGAAGGAAGGGAGGCAGGAGAGGGCTCAGAAACCTTGTCTTAAATGGGTTGTATACCCTAAAAGCCAGCTAGAGACAAATGCCTATGGTACCACCTGGGAAGAAAGAAAAAGGAATGCCCCCAATTAGTAAGATGAAATTGTGAAGTGAACCTCTCCTATGCAGCAGCATGAACATGCAATGATGTATGTGATTTGTTAAGGAAGAAAAATCAAAACCTGGGTAATGTATGCAACCTGTCAACTTGGGCTGTGGTGCTCCATGCTACGAGCCATGCGTGTATTGCAGCCTTCCAACAGAACAGAAGACAATTACCACAATTTCTATTTTTAAAGCAGAGGTTCCCCATGGACCAATGGCTCACATTTAAAGTGAAGAGAGGAGCAGGTGTCACAGGGACCTCATTACATGGATGAGCCTTCCAGTGTCGTCTGCTCTGAGCCCGTGTGCAACGCCTTCCGAGGCAGGGTACACAATGGGGCTGACGCGGCTGATTGCTGGGCTCCTGCATTCCACTGAAATGCAATCTACAGCTTTATTTTTTTGTCAGTTTTCCCAAGGAAATTGGCAAGCATTCTGCTAGGTTAAAGCGTGCCTTGGCAATTTGGATTTCCTACAGATAAATTATTCAAAGCACACAGAATATTGAGAGATGTGGGGATGCGTAATGGGCACTGCTTGCAAACTGTGAGCCCCCACTGATGAAGTTGATGGCTACGGTGCCCATTCTGCTGAGCACCTTCCACTCGTGATTTATCTGCATCAAAGGGCCAATATGCAAGAAGTTCTCTTAGGTGCATGTAGCTTTGATTTTAAAAGGGAAAATGCTGAACTACTGAAGGAAAAATCGGGCTCTTTAAGATGAGAACGAATTTGTAAGAGCTAAGCAGCATGGGACACTTTGGTTCCTGAGCTGTTTGAAACGAGCAGTGGAGCAGTGCTGGATGTCACGAAAGCATCTGGGTGAGGCTGAGACAAAATCAGTACCACTTGATTTGCATCATTTTCCTTTTCGAAAGAACTCAAAGCACTTCAGAGACGGACTTGGTCTGTCCTTCTGCCTCAAAATCATCAGTGTCCCCACATGGTGGATGGAGAGCCAGTGTGGCAGCAGCCCTGTGCCCGGCATCAGCGAGGCTTAGCCTGGGCAGTTGCTGGGCAGCATCCCCTGGGCCTTCTGTCCTCACCATACAATAACAGCCATGCCCAAGAGAACAGCTCAGTGATGAAAACATAGTAAGACACTTCTCAATTTCTTGCTGATTTTTTAAAAATTTTTACTTGTTCCAAGCACAAGCCAACCAGGCCCCTGTTCTTACACAGCCCACAAATAACTCATTGGCCTCTCCCCCTGAGGGTGAAAAAGCTTCTTTGTTGAAACAGGCCAACCTCACTCCCCTCCCTCACTGCCTGGCCAGTGATCTCTCTCAAATGCGATATCTGCTCTCTGTTTCCCCAACACCAACTTCATTCTGCCACCAGGAGCATGTCTTATAACTTGAATTAATATTTCAATAATTCTGCCTTCAATAGAAAAACCAGGAAAACTATGGGGAAGAAGATAACTTATAAATGCAAATATATTGTGTTTTGCCAAATCTATTAACCAGAGAGAGTTGTCTCTTCATCTGCCCATTTAACTTGCTTTCTTAGAACCATATAAAAGTAATCTCTTCAAGAGGGTGTTTTTTGCTTTGTTCTGTTTTGTATTTCTTTTTAGTAAAGTCAAGATTACTCATGTAAGCTTTTTTTTTAAATACACACAATTCTCACCATGATGTGCTACAAAGATTAACCCCTTTGCCAGACTCATCTGTATGATGCCCTTGCCAAAATGGAGTCCCCTGAGTTGTACATTTACAAACTCAAGAAAAAAAATGCAGTAAGCACTCTCAAAACCTGCCAGTTCCTCTAGACTCATGGGCTACAGTTGTGAGAGATGCACTCAGAACCCAGAAACACAGCCAGTGACAAACCACTTGTGTCTAAAGGGAAATGGGGGATTCAGATTCCAAAGATGTAAGAATCAGAGACTTTCCATGATGTACAGAAGGTTTTGTGCTTTCTCCTTTGCCCCGGGAGACCATGTCTGCCCACCCTGTTCCCAGCCCAAGTGCGATACACTCATGGTGAATGCCGTCTCTCTTCTCCTTGCTCACTCCCTTACGCTCTCTCTCTATCATCTCTCTCTCCCTCCTTAGTCCTTTTTGCCTGCTTCCTCCCAAGGCCTTCAGAGCAGAAGATCTCTCGCTCCACCCGCCTCCAACCCTGAGCCATGGTCCTGCCCTTCTGCATGCCAGGCCATACTGGTCACAGTACCAAACCTGGGCTGAAGCCTTGCCCCAGCAGGAGCAGGAGGGTGTCTTGGCCCTGAGTGGCACCAGCCTCAACATCTCCAAAGTTTGCCCATCACTCCATGGAGTTGTGGTATGCTCTGGGGAGAGCTCGAGGGATAGTGGACTATAAGGCCTGAGAGCTGGGGTGAGGTGGGGATGGGGTGGGGATCTGTGAAGGCCTGAGGACATTTGGGGTGGGAGGCACTCCAATTTTGGGAACTGGAAGCATCCTTGAGTGGCTGGCACCCTTCTTCATCTCACTCTCTCTCTCTTATTTTCTACCCTGTGCCTGCTTCTTTCCCTCGTGTCTCTCACCTTGATCTGAAATGACTCATTCATTCATGATGGTAAGGACATTGTCTCTCCTGCAGAGAGATGCTCAGTACATATCATTGAAAGATAGGTGGATGCAGGAACAAATAAATGAATGAGGGCAGTCTGAAACATCTCTGAAATCCTGGAGCTGGAGAAGGTGGACACAAGTAGTCAGAGGAATTCATAGAGACAATATGTGGGAGTCACGAGCTGGAGGTTTCAGGTTTCCTGACATCACGGGGAGCCATTCACCCCAGCCCTGGGCTAGAGGGGGCAACATGTTAGTGTTTTATATAATTTAAAATGTCTTACAACAGCCAGCAAAGCTGGAGAATTGGAGCAGACTTACAGACGTTTTTTAAATCCTTGAGATTACATGGGTTATACTGTCCCTGTAGGAGGGTTGAGTCTCTTGTGTAATGCTTTTCCTCCCAGAGACCTAGACAAAAAGAGAGTGCATCTATCCACTCCCTAGGGACCATAGGAGGTCCAGAAGGAAGAGGACCATGAAGACAGGGTGACAAGGTGGCTGGGAACTGGCCATCAACCTCCCTGTCGGGCCCCAGCAGTACTTGGCTGCTGTCAACACGACATTCAATGTCATCTCTCTGCAGGGAGGGATGGGGAGGAAGAAAGAACCATGGTCTGGCTCATTTTCTTCTCACTCTTATACCAGGGGCAGTGCCAACTCCCCTGGGGCCACTGTGAAGCCATCATGACAGGTGGCATTCACAAAGATGCCCATTCCCACCTCTAGGGAGGTGCTCCACTTGAGGACAGAAGGGTGGCAATCAAGTACTTGCCTTGCTTCCCCTCCCCAAGCATTTCAGTGGGAGTGTTTTCTGCCTGCCTGCATGGCTTGGCCTTCCCTTTCCTTTCCATTAGAGCATGCCCCTGCAAGCCAGCTCAGCCCACTGAGTAGAGGTAGGAAGCCAGCTGCCTCAGAGACCTCCACACACGTCCTTCTTTCCATTCTCTGGATTTCCAAGACTAAACCACTTGTCCTCACCCCTGTACCCCTCTGCAGCCATCACAGCACCCCCTGGTTCCTTGAAGTGACAGTTCTGTCCCCACCTTTGGGGGACATCTCACTGTGTGTCTGAAAATCTCCTGACATTCCACCCATTGTGCAACCTACCTGCAGTTATTCTAAATAAAACAGCTTCCTCCTTAGGGGAAAGGACACCCCATGGGGTGTTATTTAACACATGTCATAAGAGGGTTTCTCTTGACAGCTTTAAACATGAGATCCTGGCTCACTCAACCCCCAAATTAAAAAATTATAGCAATATAACAGACACCCTGGTGAAGCGGCCATATCTGCATCCATCTATTAAACACTCCAGTATAAGTGGAATGTATACCCCCACTCAGGACACAATCCAGCAACATCAAGGGAAGCAGACCAAAAGGGCCACACCCAGTGGCACCTCTCTCCCTTGCAGGAGCCTCTATCCAGTCATCCTTGCCAGAGGCCCCCCCAACCCCAAGTTGTATAGGAAAAAAGACTGACCGAACGCCCATGTAACCCACCTTTTTCTTGATTCTATAACTCTGAAGTCATCTGCTGAATACTATGCAAATTGGGGCCCAAATATTTCCCTCTTCAAGGTCAAGAAAGTTTAAGAAGCTACTACCAAGCCCTACCCTCCCTCGAACACACCATCCCCCAATACCCTTCTGGTAGACCCTTCCAAGGAGTCCTGAACTGTCCACATTCCTGGTGCTGAACTCAGAAGCACGTGGCGGCCAGTCAACGCCTCCTGCATGGGCTTTGTCTCCCCCACTGCCTTCCTGTGCTGGCTCCTCACCTCATTCACCTCTTATCTTAGGTCAGTCCCCAAAAGACTGACTCCTTTGTCATCATTACTGTGTGATATTCATGCACTATGGCCACCACTCAGCCCCAGTGCTGTCATCTCCTCAAACCCCATGACCAGAAGGTACCACCCGCACCAGCCCCACAGTCATCTGGGCACATCCTCTCTCCTTCTCTGGCCCAGTCTTCTTCTTGGATTCTCTACTCAGAGCAACAACTCAGGCCCTATCTGCCAGAAATAAAGGAAAATGACCTCAAGTTGAGCAGAGATGAAACAGCTAGTGGTGCCAGGAGAACCTGGGTATGGGCTTGTTCACAGACACTACATTTTGTACATCACAGATTGTCCATGGCAGGTTCCAAACCTTTGAGTTCATCATGCCTGAGCCATGGGAAAATCAAAATTCTCCTACCCAACCCTGACATGGCACCAAAGAAGCATAGATAACACTCCACCCAGAGCCCTGGCCTCAAATCAAGTAACTTTCGTGGTTACATGACCTCATGCCTGTGCAGCTCTGTGTGAATCCTCAAGGATGGGCTAGAATAAGGGGAGTGAGGCCAAAAACTCAGTGATCAGGATAAATGATATTTTAATTCAATATTTTAAAACATCAACATAGTGCAAAAAATCCACAATAAACAAAATACCAAAATTTTAAATGCAGGATCAATATTACTGACTCTTCCTCGTGTCTCAGGTTCTAACATGGATTGGCAGAACACTGATAATCCTGTGAGAGCCAAAATGTGAGTGGAGGGGCTTAACAAAGTAGTGATAACAGACCCCTTGAAATGTACATTCTTGTCACCAGACTCAAAAGGAACATGTTGGATTTTGTGAGTAAAGTACAGGTGCCCTCAAATGAAGTTCCCTCAACTGCATAGCCCCACCACCACCTACACCCTGAGCCAACACCATCTTGGTAGCCATGCCCTAGGTCACTACTGGACTCTTGCTGGAGAGCATCCACATGTCAAGTAAATGAGAGGTCAGAATCTAGTCTATGGGCAGGTCTGCCCCAAGCCTGTTGTCAGTCCCTACTTCCATCTCTGAGGGTCATCTGACCCCAGAGATCTATCCTCACCCAAAGCATGTAAGTGGGAAGTTCTAAAATTAGAGGGTTGGTGGTAGGAAACAGTGTCTCTGAGAACATGTGGTACTCCAGGGCTTGGGAGTGTTCCTGGGGAGGCGGGAAGCCTGGGTCACCTCCACCATGAATTCAGGGCAGGTGTGAGAAGGGCATGCACCATCTGCCTCCACTTAGGGAGACCAAAATAAAACAAGGTTAACAGACCTCAGAGCTCCTGTCAGCAAGGTCTGCTGTCAGACCCTGCAGGGATTCTCACCCTACCCAGGTGAACGCAGGGTATATAGAGAGCAGGTTGCTCAGGTCCAACACATGAACCCAGGTGTGATCATGTCTCAAAGCAGGGCTGGCTGGAAGTTGAGACACCGCTGCCACATTCTAGTTGTGATCTACTCAGAGTCGTTTTTCTTCCCTTAACTTTAAAGTGACCAGATCCTTGACGTACCTAGTCCTCATTTACCCTTTGCCTGGCCTGGACTCTGGTGAAGATCAGAGTCCAGAAGTCATCCTGTGCTTCCTGCCTGGGAGCCAAGGAGAGGCTGTGCACAGTCAAACGTGGGGGCCCAAGACGGGGGCTGCCCTCCAGCACCTCACCTTGCTGTGTCTGCCCAGGATATACCTCGAGGTCCTGCAGCTGCTGGCCTTGCCTCCGTGTGTCCACCTCTGATTCAGCAGCTCACCCCGGAACTCATTTTCTGAGGGTTAAAAAGATACAGAATCAGAAAAAGAAAGCTTGAAGAATGCCAGCCATTCCAATTCAAGGGAAGAAATTAGAAATGTGGGTGGCCACTCTTCCAGAAAACAGATATGGTCATGGTCTCATGGTTGGTACAGGGACAAGAGAAAATATTTCTCTAATGTGGAGCCTCTTTGGAATCTCCAGCACCTGCTCTCCTCTGCACCGTTTTCCTAGGACTGGTTCTGTTCTGTGACACGTGCCTTGAGTGGATGATGGTTCCCACTGACATGGGCATTCCAACCAGAGGGCGCTGGGCAAGACAGGCGAGCCTCGCCTTAAGAAGACCTGGAACTTAAACTCCCCAACTTTGAAAATGAACTAACTCATGAGTAATTATTCACATTACAACTAGATCCTTCTGCTTCCAAAAGGATGAACAGCACAGATTCATTTGCAAAAAAAGAGAGAGAGAGAGAGAGAAAGAGAGAGAGATTGTTTTGCACAAGTTCTCTGGAGTCCATTGACAGGAATGCGAGGTCCACCTGTGGCCCCGAATGAGCTTTGTCTCTCACAGGAGCCCCAGGCCCCGCCATTGCTCTCTGCCCTCGTTTTCAGCATCTTTTCTCACCCTGTGTTTCTGCCTCTCTCCAGAGTAATGTCTCCAGTTAATATTTAATTCCTCACATAAATTCACATGTCTAAGCAGAGGCTGAATGCATCAGCTGGACACGACAAAGAAATGCATTGTGTACCTATTCCCTGCACGTCACTCCCCGTTTCCATGACAACGTGCTTTCTACAACTGCGGCTTTTCAAAGGAAGGTCATTAAGTAACCAACAATAAAAACAGGAAATGAATATCCCTGCATTCTGCTCCCCACTTCTCCTAGGAAGTGAGTTTGGATTCTGCTGAAGGCTGGTCAGGCGCATTGTCCTTGCAAACATTACCTTTCTTTTCCCCACATTTTAGATGTGCATCAGCAAATGCTGCTTTTCTCTGGAAATTCACCTCTCCTGGCCCCAGGCGGCCCTGTGGCTCCAGCTGTAGCATCCTCTTGTTGTCTGGAAATGCCTCCATCCCATTAAAGGGCTTCACATTACCTTCCACAGTATAAACACAGAGGAAAGCAGATTTTGTCATCAAGGAGATGGCATAACACAAAGTCACTGGACATCAGCACTGAGCCATCATGAGGTTCCTCTAATGGGGAGCCAAGCCTGCCCACCAGGTAATCACATTCTCAACCCTATTACAGGAATGTGGGGAACAGCCCTTAGGAGAACCAAGCGCACTGAACTCACAGGCAGAGGCAGCCAATGGTGTGAGGGGCCCAGCACAAAGGAGAGGCCAGACAGCCACACCCCATGGGGTAAAAGGTCAGGAACACATGTGGGAAGATTCAGGAGGTAAACAAATAATAATTGTTCCAGCCACAAAGTGTGTTTCACACTTTGAAGATGGGGCATGAGAGTGCCCCGTGTGTCTCCTCCACAGTGGCACTGGAAGCTGAGAGACACCTAGGGCCCCAAAGTACATGGGACTCATGTACTGAGCATCCATCCCAGGGGTTAAGAGGCTGCCAGGACCTGTGCACTGGGCTGATGTGCCAGGTTCAAGCAGCATTTCTTGTTTCGGTTACATATGTAAATATGCAGGTAACGGGAGCGGGGCACGTCTTGCTGACAGCAAGGAAAGGACGCAAGTCTGTGCTGTGCTGTGCAGCAGAGTGCACCAGAAGAACTGCCTTCCCAGAGCCAGCTCCCCTGAGTTCTGCTCTAGGTCTCTCCCACTTCTTAGAGAAGCCAGGCAGAAATGAACTGCAAAGGGAATTCCAGCTTGGTCTGATGGGAGTAACCAGCTCACTGGGGCTACCCCACCCTTATCCACCCATGGGATTCTGCAGATGAAGCCTCGTGGAATTCTCCATTGCCTGCATCCCTTGCACTCCTGTCCCACGGTCAGCCCTGGGTTCTGCAGCCCTGAGGCCACACATCTGCTCAGGCAAAGCACTAGGACCCTGGGATCATCCGGGCCTCCCAAGAACTACTCTTGCCTCGCCTAGGCAATAAAGCCTCAGAGCTTCTCTGGGCAAGAAAGCAGAATGGCACCTGCTGAGGACCTCTGCACCACATCTCTGAGATGCAGAGAACACAATTAGTCAAAGCACCTACCCTCAAGCTCAGAACCTCATTGATAGGACCAGGCTCAACCATAACATGATTCTGCCTCCCTTTTCCAGGAAACTTCTCGGCAGCCCAGTAAGGTGTGCCAGGTCTTCTTCTTTGGCCCTCTGGGTCCCCACAGGGACCTGCCTGGGACTTGGTGTGCTCCTCCCAGACAAGACTCTCCTGTCAGGACGCTCTGCACAATCAGCACCCCTAGCAGTACATTGAGCCCCATGCACCAAAACAATGGCAGCGGCCACAGGCCACAGAAAAACACTGCACAGAAAAACGCTTCCGGACTTTGTGCTACTCCATGGATATACCCTGTGGCGTGGCCAAGGGCCCTGAAACTCACAAAGAGCAATGTTGACTTGGGCCTGACCAGCAGGCCACATAACCTCTCTGAGACATAAGTTCTTCATCTATAAAGTGAGAAGGAGATAATCATTTGGAGACTTAGATATGTATGGAAAAAGCCTCGCAGTGAAGGCACGAGGGTGTCACTGTTGTTATCATTGCCACGTTTCTTACCAGGAATCTAAGGTGAGGAGGAGCTTTGCATCAAAATGAGCATTTTAAGTTTCTAGCAAGTTGATCTGAATCCCTGCTCATTGATGCAAACAGAAACCTAGACGTCAGAGACCACCACGTCCTGAGCATGTCTCTCAGGTAGGAAGCCCTTAGAAGCAGCTTCTAGCAGCCAGAGGAGTGGCACTGGCTAGGATCCCTCTCTACGGACCTGGCAACTTTGCACCCAAAGCCTTGTCCCCACATCAGTCCCCACTGCAGCCCCAGAGTCACTTTAACAGGGCTCTGATGGGCAGAAAAACTCAATAAAGCAAACAGGGCCTTTTCAGCCAAGACTAAGGCACATTGGGCCACAGAAAAGAGAGTCACCCTCCACAGGGCCAGAAACTTCAGTGCAGACCAGGCGGATGTGCAGAGCTGAGCTGCAGTTGATCTGTCCCTCCTCTAATGAAGCCCACTTTCTTGAACTCAGTAACATTGTAAACCCAAGGCCAGCTTGACCTAGCTCTGAACAGGAAATTTCCAGTGAGAGTCAGAAACTAGGCTGGACTCATCCCTGGCAGTGCTACCCGTCTACCCCAAGGTTTTCCTCTGTCGTCACAGCAAGGAGACCCTCTTGGCCCAGCTCTAACATCACAGCCACCCCCTGTCCCACAACCAGCACACCCTTGCTCCTTGCACTGGGGTCCACTGTACAATCTCACCCCATGCAGACAGCCACATCTGCTGCAATGCCTCCTGGGTCGCCTTGAATCTGGCCTGTGCCAATCTGCCCCAGTGGCACATCCCCTAGGCTTCTAGCTGGGAGTCCCTGTGATGGTCAGCTTCAACTCTCTCCAGCACTGGCAGCCCAATGGTCTTACATTATGTAAAACCTCCCCACCCAGAAAACAGGAAGGCTGAACAAGAGGCCAGGCGATCATGTGGAAAGTCACAGGACTTTGAAGTTTTCACTAACTTTGGCACCTGTGGTGACCACAGGCTGCCTTTGGGGCTAGGAACCATCACTACCTGCCATTCAACATGCAAAGAGGCGAAGGGTAGTCATGGAGGGGAGCCCTCATCTCGATTCTTCCATGTACCCACACCCAACACACACTCAGCGGAGGATCTCGCCACCACATCAGTTGGACGTGCCAGCCCCTCAGCCCTCCCCTGTCTTCCACAGAGAGTCTTGCCTCCCGGTTAAGCAACCTCTCTTCTGGACTCTGGATCCCCCTCCTTCCCTCTGTCAATTCAAGGGTCCCAGGAATATCAGCACTACCCTCCATTCTTCTCAAATATTTAATCACTCTCTTAAACTCTACAACAAGCTTGAGGCATCCACATTTAAAAAACAAAATCTGTCTGGACCCCATACCTTGGCTACCTCTCCACCTCCGCCCTCTTCATTAACCACATTCTTAGGGAGTCAAACTTGCTGACCCTACTCCTCATTCCCCACCGCAGGTAGCTTCCACCAATATCCCTCCATCCAAACAGCAGCCCACCTCACAGGGCACCGGATGTCCTACCACACATTGCTGCTCTTTGTGTCTGCTTCCTCCTCCTATGGTGAGCACTCGCCCTCCCAGCCCCTCCTCCACCACCAGTGCAGGAACCCTCCTGCTCACCTGGCCACCTGGCCATGGGATGTCAGAAGCCCTCTCATCCTCACTCCTTCTCTGCCCACAATATCTCCTTCTCATGTGATTTAGATTTTTCCTCCTCTCCTTCTCAACCATCAACTTCTCATTCCAGAAACCTGGGAGCAGTCCTAGGCCCCAAATCCTATCAATGTCATTTTCTGAATCACACCAGAATCTGACCACTTCGGATCTCTCCAGCTGTTTTATTTGCAAAAATTGACAAACTCATTCTAAAATTCATGTGGCAATTCAAGGAAGATAAAACAACCGAAATAATTTTGAAAAACAACCAAGTTGGAACATCTGTACTTCTCAATTTCAAAACTTACAACAAAGTTGCAGTGGTCAAGACAATATGGTATCAACAGCAAAGACACACAGATAAGCAGGATGGAACTAAAATAATCCCTTATATTTATGGACAATTGATTTTTAACAATGCAGCTAGGACAATTTAATGGGAAAGAATATTCTTTTCAACAAATGTGCTGGAACAACTGGATACCCCCAAAAAATGAAGTTAGATACCTCTTACGCAAAAATTAACTCACAATACATCACAGATTTAAATGAAAGAACGAAAACTCTTAGAAGACACAGGAGCAAAGCTTCCTGACTCTGGGTTAGGCAATGGCTTCTTAGATATAACAACAAGCCGGGCTCAGTGGCTCAGCCTGTAATCCCGCGTCTTTGG